GTTTATTCCAGACCTTTTTCTCCGGGGGGGGGGGGGCACTTGATATTTTCGGGGGGGGGGGGGACAACACTTACCGGGGGGGGGGGGGGAGGCGGACACTAGTAAAAGTATATGTTTTCTGTATAAAATCCATTTAGTTCGGGGGGCCGTAGACTTTCTTCCGGGGAAGGGGGGAGGGGGGAAGCCCACCCCCCCCCCCCACCCACCCCCGAAGTGATGCGCGGAAGAAACTCTGATGACGTCGCAGGAGATAGCATACGCGAAGCAACTGAAAGAGAGGTGGGTAACAGAGGGTTTGATACTACTGCATGTTTTATCTTACAACTACTTAAGGGGGCAGCATCACCCAGACTAAGGGAGAGAAATAAAAATTATCATTTTAAAAAAATATAGACATGCACATGTCAAATTATTACAGTGGTAGTAGCGTGTCTTCAGCTATAATCCAGCATATAATTTATGGAATATATTGATGGCAACTATTTTTTTCAAAATGTTTTAATTATTTTATTACATTTTTTTATTTTTTTTTAAACAATGTTTTGAAACCATAAAATAAAGTACTTAAAATTTGATATATAGTTTCATTACTTTAAAACATTATGATTAATCTTAGTATTATCACGCAAGGATTTTTTTTAGAAAACTCCGAAAGTCAAAGTCCCGGCAAGATTTACTTTAGAAATGATCCTTAAAAGTATGATCACCATAACCCCACACCCCAGGATAGCCAAATACCCACACACGATTTGAACACACCAATCCTTCCCGCCCCAGCTCAATCGCTGACACGAAAAGTCACGCAACATCGCTTCTGATGTCTGGTCCAACGCACCCACCCCCTGTCAACCTGTTTTTTTTACCCCACTGGACACCCATCCTTGCCGCCAGTATTCTTCCCTTACCATCAAGATTCTTATTGTTGTAAAGTTTTGTATATTATTCAATCTCTAAGCTTAAGTACGGCGCAATGATCTACAACATTTAATGATGATCCCCCGACCCCAACTCCTTAGGACCACACCCCGCTTTGTACCCACTCTATGTTATGTTAAGAAACACTGTACTGTATACATCAGTGATATATATATATATATATATATATATATATATATATATATATATATATCTTTACAAAAATGCAAGTACTTAAGATGTACATTACTAAGGAAAAAGGCTTGTGCAAATTGTTGTTAATTTTTACTTTCTCGTATATACGAAGTATAGAGAAAGTATTGTAATCGTGCAAAAAAAAAATCGAGATTTTTACAAATCTCTACGTTTTACACCTCACTGATACGGAAAAACATAATTTTGCAATCTTGTCCGTATGTCTGTGTGTCTGTGTGTGTGTGTGTCTGTCTGTCTGTCCGTGTGTAAACACGATTACTTGAGAACCGTTACAGCTAGGTTGATGAAATTTCATATATAAGTATTTTATCAAAATCGTAGATCCGTATCAACTTTTGAGCGATTTCCGATAACCGGAAGTGGTACTTTTCCTACTTTGAATTTTTCAAAAGCCTATAACTTGAGTACTATTTCAGATAGATAAATGAAATTTCACATGTAAGTAAAAGATCTAATTCTCTACCTTCTGTTAAATTTTGAGTAATTTCAGTTGACCGGAAGTAGTAATTTACGCTACTTCCGATTTCTCAAAAAACTAATGTAAATTTTTAAAGTACTAATAATATTGCGCACTATTATGCGCTTTTTTATTTGGCGTTTACTTGGTGTGTAATTAATTTGTCTACGAGATTTTATTCTATTTTTAAAACTTTAAGAATTTAAAATGGATTAAAAATCATGTCTATAGCCCGAGTTCCCATCCCCTGTTATTTTATATAAGAATATTCGAGAAAGTTTAGGGGAGATCACTCCCGGTTTATTTGTATATGATTAATCTAACTGCTTATTTATTTTTAATGAAATGAAAATTATGTTACGGTAAATACGTTGTCGTTTGTTTTATGGCAAATAAAAGTATTTAAAAAAAAAACTTTAAAAGTCCTTCCGGGTGGGTCTTACTTCGAAAAATTATAATAAAGTACAAAATTAGTCACACTTTTTATCTTCTAGTTCCAACGGTAGGCTACCATACTATGCATCAACTTGAGTATTTCAGCAGGAAGGGCCTAAGTAGTGGAACACTCAGCCCAATATTTCTTATTAAATATTTTTGGGTAAAATTATTTTTTTTAAATGTTTGCATCATACATTGACTATCATTTATGCGCTGTTTTATAGCTCCTTGATAATAACTATTTTGTTAAAAAATTAATGTGTGTATGTATAATAGTTTTTTTTTTTTTTTGGCAAATTTTAAAGTCAATTTACATTGTCTGGGTGATATTGTATGAGAGTCAGGGTCTTTAAATCACCCTTTCAAAATGAACTTAAATTTACCGCAAGTACTTTAATTTTTAAAAATGGTTACACCATGGAGACAGCAGTGTGTGTGTGTGTGTGTGTGTGTGTGTGGTGGTTCATTTCACCTTGGACCAGCTAAGGGGTCTTGGTGAAGTGGGGTGGGGGTGGGGTCCGAACCCGCAATTTACGGGATGGATGATAAATTCTTTACAAGGCCACGACGTCACATACCATGGGACTGTATGGCCTAGCGGTAGAGCGCAAAAAATGATAACTTGAATGCTTCGAGTTCGAATCCGGGTGCAAGTCAGTGGAATTTTCCTAAGTCCACCAAACTCTGATGGGTACCTAACTCTCTTTAGGTAAAGTAAAGGCGACTAATTATAATGCTGACCACATGCTCCCTTCATTTGTTGTGTAATCTTGCCCAGTGCGAACCCATGTCCTATTCTCTTCGTGTTCAGGAGAATATCGTCCAGCAGATTACGGTCCACAGTTGTATCCTGCCAATCTGCGTGGTTATAAAGTTATCTATATGCTTGTTGCATATATGATGTATATGTATCCTAATCCTTGTTTTCCATTTACCTAGGTTCTTCTTATTTTATTTAATCAACTACAACACTAGATTGCTGCAACCATTGCAATTTTTCTTTAACCACGAAACGTGATTGGTGGAGTAATCAATGAAATTAATAACGTTATAGTGACACTGTTTTCGGTAATGTTCTACACTACAATCTTCAACTCTAGACACACGGCCTATGTGACTAACAGTAGGGGTACTTAATGTGCCTGTAACAGTTAAATGTAGATGAATGTATATTTCAAGTGTGTATCTTAAAAAAGGCGATATGGATCTAAAATGAAAGGTGGGTGTGCGCATGCGCTAAGGAAAGGAAGCGAGAGGTAGAGAGCGCGGGAACAACATGGCGATATTTGGGAATGAAGGCAATGTTCTTATGAACCAATAAAATTATGGAAATTAACAGAACAAGGGTTGATTTTTTGTTTTGAGTGTGTGCCATGAAATAGGTAGGAGAAAAAAGGCTGTGACAGTGCCGATACAAGCTATTTGTAATAAGTGATGATCCCACGTTTTGACACGACTGGCCAATATAAAATACAAGGTGAGATTTCAAGCTGTTTAACATTTTTCCTGTTGAAAAAAGTAAAGTTACCATTCGAACCTGACAGTCCATATGGCAAGTGAAGTAGAGTTATCCAATTTCTTCGACCTCGGCTTATGAAGGGATACTGTGGTCAGCACTACGCCCAGCCGCCTTTACCTTTCCCTAACGTGAGTCAGGTACCCAATAGAGCTGGGTGGAGTCAGAGGCGTAGCGAGGGGGGGGGTGCGGACCGCACCGGGTGACACCATTTAGCGGGGTGACACCAAGGCAAAGAATAGCAAAATATATAGAGAAAAATGATAATTCCAGTTAATTAAGTGATTAATTCGAGTGTTAAATGGTCTTTTAAAAGGTCCAAATCGAAAGTTTGAGAGGGGGGGGGTGTGCAAATCGAAAGTTTGAGGGGGGGGGGTGCAAATCGAAAGTTTGGGAGGGGGGTGTAAATCGAAAATTGAAAGTTTGTCCCCGGGAAGGGTCGCTACGCCCCTGGGGGGGGGTGACACCATTAAGTGCCGCACCGGTGACACCCGACCTCGCTACGCCACTGGGTGGACTCAAAACGCTATGCGGTGTTGTGGTGATTGTGGATGTTATATTATTTAAGGGGGCGTCAATAAATGACGTCACACCCGTAGGGGGAAGGGAGGGTCCAGATGGTATGACGTCACACTTTTGCATTATAAAAAAAGCAATGCTAGAAAACGAATTTCAAAAAAAGCGAGACATCATTTATGGACGACCCTTAATATAAATGCAACACTACACTAGACACCATAGTTCACTGTTATGCTTTTTTACCAAGGAAATCGTTATTTTAACTTTTATTGTTTAACTCTCCCCGACCATTCCGATTGACTTCAATGAGAGGTTGTGGGTATTTTTTGCAAATATTTAGGTTGATAAAATAATTCTAAACTGCTTTTCAGCCGATTATATTCGATATAAAAATATAAAAAAATTAGTGTAATCGATGGTTCCCAAACTGCTTTAATTTTTTCAAATGTAACTATATTTTTTTTAAAAAGATGTTTTCAAACATTTACTTTGATTACATATTTTCATACCTATTCAAAGACAACATCAACAACAAAACACATTTATTTCAATTTTTATTTGCACAGACAATGAAAGAAGTGTAGTTTGTATTTCATCACAGTAAATCAAAGACCAAGGGAAGTAAGCCTTTATGAGTTTTGTAAAAGCAGCATATATAAATTACATATAATTTAACATATTATGGCTTAAAGTACGGGTTATTAAAATGTTAAATTATTACATCAATACGTTGGTTTTTTTTTTTGTTTTTCTTTTTTTGTTTTTTCTCTTTTTTTTGTAAAAAAAAATAACTTTATAAAGCATGAAAATCCTAGCAGGAAAGTAGTTAATAAATGCATCAACGTAATATAATGTGTTGAGTTTATTCCTACTATTCTTTCAACTATAATATTTTTATATTTTAAATTTTTTTTCAATTTTCAATTTTTTTTTTGGTCCCGAGCCTTTGTAATGTTTGTTACCTGTATATTAAGTATCGACTTTTATTTATATGTTGGTTGCTCGAAAGCAGGAGCGATATAAATTATATTTTTATTCAGCATTGGCTATATAACTAATATACATTCTTTTTGCTTATAATGTGCACTACATATTATCACAAAACACAACTGGTTAAGCACTGATAACTTCTTTAATGAACTTGGCCCAGTTTGACTCCCAAAAACCTATGGCTTCCAATTTTTCCACGTAGTTCATCTGGCTGTACCTAACAAATATTAAATGAGTAATATTTTAGATAGGATATTATATTATCAGTTTGTTATTATGATTTTTTAAATGAAGTCATATATGTTTGAGCAAAATATGGTACCTCTAAATTAAACATACGTTTTCATGAACAGAAAAATTAGACAGAGTTCATCCAGCTCTAATGGGTACCTGGTCTGAGTTAATAAAGTGGCTTGGCATAATGGCCCCCATAAGGTCTGAAAGTGTACTTAAGCACGTTATATTTTTACTGTAGAAAAATCTGAACTCACGTGATAGAGTTGATGGCCAGTTGTTTGAGCAGTGTTAGGTTAGCGTCCTCGCTGGACATGGTCATAAAGGTGATGAAGAAATCAAATGAGAGGGGACCAGAGTCCAGCGTCGTGACGTCATCGGAGCTGATGACGATGGGCATGTTGTTGGCAATGAGGGCCGCCATTGGATGGTTTCTGAAATCACTGACCAGCCTCAGTACCTGACAATCAAGATACATTGTACCACACTTTACCTGACAAGATACATTGTACCACACTTTACCTGACAACCAAGATACATTGTACCACACTTTACCTGACAATCAAGATACATTGTACCACACTTTACCTGACAACCAAGATACATTGTACCACACTTTACCTGACAATCAAGATACATTGTACCACACTTTACCTGACAATCAAGATACATTGTACCACACTTTACCTGACAATCAAGATACATTGTACCACACTTTACCTGACAAGATACATTGTACCACACTTTACCTGACAATCAAGATACATTGTACCACACTTTACCTGACAATCAAGATACATTGTACCACACTTTACCTGACAAGATACATTGTACCACACTTTACCTGACAATCAAGATACATTGTACCACTCTTTACCTGACAATCAAGATACATTGTACCACACTTTACCTGACAATCAAGATACATTTACCACACTTTACCTGACAAGATACATTGTACCACACTTTACCTGACAATCAAGATACATTGTACCACACTTTACCTGACAATCAAGATACATTGTACCACACTTTACCTGACAATCAAGATACATTGTACCACACTTTACCTGACAATCAAGATACATTGTACCACACTTTACCTGACAATCAAGATACATTGTACCACACTTTACCTGACAATCAAGATACATTGTACCACACTTTACCTGACAATCAAGATACATTGTACCACACTTTACCTGACAATCAAGATACATTGTACCACACTTTACCTGACAATCAAGATACATTGTACCACACTTTACCTGACAATCAAGATACATTTACCACACTTTACCTGACAACCAAGATACATTGTACCACACTTTACCTGACAATCAAGATACATTGTACCACACTTTACCTGACAATCAAGATACATTGTACCACACTTTACCTGACAATCAAGATACATTGTACCACACTTTACCTGACAATCAAGATACATTGTACCACACTTTACCTGACAAGATACATTGTACCACACTTTACCTGACAATCAAGATACATTGTACCACACTTTACCTGACAATCAAGATACATTGTACCACACTTTACCTGACAATCAAGATACATTGTACCACACTTTACCTGACAATCAAGATACATTGTACCACACTTTACCTGACAATCAAGATACATTGTACCACACTTTACCTGACAATCAAGATACATTGTACCACACTTTACCTGACAATCAAGATACATTGTACCACACTTTACCTGACAATCAAGATACATTGTACCACACTTTACCTGACAACCAAGATACATTGTACCACACTTTACCTGACAATCAAGATACATTGTACCACACTTTACCTGACAATCAAGATACATTGTACCACACTTTACCTGACAACCAAGATACATTGTACCACACTTTACCTGACAATCAAGATACATTGTACCACACTTTACCTGACAATCAAGATACATTGTACCACACTTTACCTGACAATCATGATACATTGTACCACACTTTACCTGACAAGATACATTGTACCACACTTTACCTGACAAGATACATTGTACCACACTTTACCTGACAAGATACATTGTACCACACTTTACCTGACAAGATACATTGTACCACACTTTACCTGACAAGATACATTGTACCACACTTCACCTTCTAATAAGCCCTTAAACGGGAAAGGGGGGGGGGGGGTGATGGAGGCTTCATTTGTTAACCAAGAACGCAGTGCTCCACTACGCTTTTTCAACTTTAAACTTAAAGTTTCCTCAAGTCCTGGATGTTATTTTAGTTGAACCACTTTTGTATTTAATTTAATAATTTAATTCAATTTACTAAATTAATTTTTTTTCAAAGTAACAGCTATCGCGCTTTTTAAAATCTTATTTTATCTTAGAATTGTCTTTGAATATATAATAACGAAAATAACTGCTTGCGTACATCAGGTGATGGGAAAACAAATCTATAGAGGAACCAGTACCTGATTAGATATGGGCTGGACCTCTATAGCTATATCCCTTTCTTTCACTATCTCCATCAGCCTGGGGTGTTTTCCTATGGCGTATCCGTGCCCGATTCGTGTTGTGTTCAACAAAATGGCATCAATCAGATTCCTGTCTGTCAACGTTCCCTGCCAGTCTTTTATAACAAAATCATTTTTTTTTATTATCAACAAAGTGTTAGTAAGTTAATTAATATGATTGCGAATAAACTAAAATTTGAACACATTTTTTTTTAAATTTTATTTCTTAAAATATACGTAGAGCTAAGGTTAAAATATTTAAGTCTAGTTTTATTAAGGGGAAATAATGTTGTAGAATAATTGTTATAACTAACTTGTCTCCCCTGCATGAAAGAAATACGGCAGCTTGTAGGGTGGGTTTTGTCTGGACGGGTACAGTAGCGCTTCGATGTAGTAAACAAATGGATGAAAGAAACCTTCATTGCCGGCCAGATCGTATCCGATGACGAACTCTGGGTACTTCTGGTGTAAATACATGGTCGTTTTTATTTGCTCCAGGATGACATCAACTGGCTTGTTCCTGTAAGACGTGAAACATCCAGACTTTAGATTCAAGGTGTTTAAAGTAGTACCGCCTCAAGGCTGGGACGGGGGGTGCGGACTAAACTGGGTGACACTATCCTAGGGGGTGGCACCAAAATAAAGTTTACTTCATTTTAATGAGATAGTTTAAGCTAGTTTAACAGCTAATTAAAGTTGTATACCGCATCAATTGCCGATAGTTTTAGTACATCTTAGGTGTTGTTGTTGGCGTATGGGGTGACACCCGCTGTGGTAACACCAAGTGACGCCACTGGTTTAAAGGAAGGCATTGTCTACATTCCCTTTGAGATCCTAACACTAACCTTATCCCAGAGATGATCCACTTGACGCCACTGGTTTAAAGGAAGGCATTGTCTACATTCCCTTTGAGATCCTAACACTAACCTTATCCCAGAGATGATCCACTTGACGCCACTGGTTTAAAGGAAGACATTGTCTACATTCCCCCTAGATATCCTAACACTAACCTTATTCCAGAGATGATCCACTTGACGCCACTGGTTTAAAGGAAGGCATTGTCTACATTCCCTTTGAGATCCTAACACTAACCTTATCCCAGAGATGATCCATTTGACGCCATTGAAGTCTGGATGTTTGTTCTTGAACTCAGTCACTGCCGCTTTAATTAGATTTACACCGTACTCGGCATTGTGGACTGTCCCGTCTAGTTCATACAACTGGTATAGATGGTACAAATACATTGGGGGTTAAACAACATCGAATTAGTGCAAAGGGATGGCATGGTCTGATGGTAGAGCTCACCAATGCTAACCCGAATGTCTCAAGTTCGGATCCTGGACTCGTGTCCGTAGGACTTCATTGAGTCTATACAGTTCTGATGGGTACCTGACTCAAGTTTTGGAAATGTAAGAGTACTAATCAAATCATCCCTGTAAAATATGCCAGAGTCAGTAAATAAACTCTACTTCATCTATCCCATGTGTCTTGGGTACTGAAGGGAAAATATAAGATAATGAGAGAGTACCATTCAGCGACTTCTGTAGCACACAATGCTATTTAAGTACTTAACAGGCTCGGTCATTATGGTGATCCTTCCTTCTAAAAATAACTTTTAACATTATTATAATATGTTATTAGAACTTTTTTTTAATAATGTAAGAATCAATCTTTTTTAATGCAAACCTACACTTTATAAACTTGTTTGTTATTTTTCGTAACAAAATTCTAGTATGGACCCAATGAAATAATACATAAATGTACAGCAATCTTTGTTGTGGCTTAGTAGTTTTTAAAATTCAAATGAAATGCAGCAGTAAATTGGCTATCAGTTCTTAGGTCATATCCTACACACTACACAACGTAGAAGGTAGGTTCAATGATTTGATAAGCTAATCGATTGTGTTTGGACCTATGCCAAAATTAATCCCAGGAAAGAACTAACAGCTGAGATCAATGAAAATCTTGAATCTACTTCCTGAAACAAAACAACTAGCCACAGTGAACTATTTAAAGGTCCATGGGGTATCTCATTAGCGTCATGTACGCTGGTCTCTTGCTATGTGTTGAACTAAATTACATTAAAATGGGGACCTCATTTATAAATCTGGTATATCGTAGACTTTAAACTGCAAGGCTGTTTTAATACGGTCGTTTCATGCAACACACACATATATGCACACATATGGGTCTATTTATAAGCATGCGTGTGTTGTGTATTCACACACTAAGATGTAACGGCGCTGCTAACATAGTGTTAACCTGGTGTCTGAGACTGTTGTATCTTCATGTGCGTTCTGTGTGTAAGTGTCAGCTGGTGTGTTGTCAAGTGTGTTCTATGTGGAAGTGTCAAAGTGTCGGATAGAACTTCTGTCTTGTCATGCGTCTACTGTGTGTAAGTGTCAGTGTTTCTTGGACAACTAGTATGTTGTCACGTGTGTTCTGTTTGGGAGTGTCAGGGTGTACGAGACAACTGGTTGTTGTTAAGTGTGTTTTGTGTGGAAGTGTCAAAGTGTCGGGGACAACTTCTGTCTTGTCATGCGTCTATTGTGTGTAAGTGTAGAGCAGTACAGAGGGTTAAACAGTAAGCTAAGAATAAGAACCCAACAGAGAAGTTAGAGGTAGGAAAAGAGAAATAGCTTTGACTTGTTATACAGTTCATAGTTTTCAACGGGTTAGTTATTGTTTTTCGATAATTTACATAGTGATTGTAAAAATACTACAGACGTTTTAAAAAGACGTCAAAACGCAAGTCCAGTTATTTTTAGTTTAGGAGGTTAATTAACTTATAATAAAACAGTAAACACGGACTCCACTTAGCTTACATTAAACCTCCTGCACCCCAACAAAACATTTAACATCCTGGACCGAACTAGGATATGGACACGCTCTCGTGATGGATATGGAAAACATCCACCAGTGGATTGGGTCTAGTTTCACACACCCTACTTAAATCCTATCCTGGTTAAGTACACGGTAGCTATATTTGTTCGTATGCTACATTTAAAAGTGACCTCAAGAAGTTGGGAACTAAACACTTTTGGGGCTGATGTGTCTATATTTGTAACATATTTAATTCCATTACAGCTCTACGTATGTTATCAGTCGACATTGGCCAGACTTACACCACTAGGGTCACCTCTTATCTCCAAATACTGCACATTCTCTTGATAGAATTCTTCCAGTGTTTGTAGTATCATGTCTCTGTACAAAGGGGCGTAAGTCAGCAGCCCAAAGACCTTGACAAAAAGGGAAATAACTTTTACAATGTTTATATTATCAATTCCCAAAAATTGCCCATACATATAAAATTGATTAATATTTTTAAACTAAAACATTCGTGGTAGAGATATTTCATTTTTTTCCTGAATAAACAACCCTTAACTCAAAGAAAGACTTCCATCAAATAGATACTAAAAATACCTTAGCTAAAAAAAGTTTCGCGTCCATATTCCATTATTTTCCAGAATAAAAAGCTTTTCCCAAAGAAAGACCTCCCTCGATTCTAAGGACTGACCCTATCCTTGTAATTAAAATTAGATTAAAAGACTGTGTTTAAAACTCACTTGTCGAAAAAATCCAATAAACCGCACCCAGGCCTCTTGGTTATCTTCAAACGCCTGGAATGGATCGCTGGATATCATGGATAGGTTTTTGCGGATACTGGAGATATTAAAAATACACGTATGCGCTTTTTTTAAAATTCTCAATTTACCAAAAATAATTTTAAAAGTTTACAAATAATTTTATTAAGCAACACATTCATGTTTTTATCAGGTTTACCTCGCATCAAATTCAGCCACGTCTTGTGAAGCTGCTCGCTGTGATTTCACGGATTTCCATTCACAGGCTGAAAAATACAGTTTCATATTACACCTTAGTACTAAAAATCGTTTTTCATTTTATACATCGAGTTAAATTCAGTCCCTTTCATCATATACGGACACGATGCATTTAAAAATTTAGGATTTTTTTAAAAATATGAAATTTCATTTTTTTTTATTTTGTAACGTTAGCCATTATTATAAGGTACATTATAATTGTGTTAAATCGAATAACGTTAAATATCGCCATCTATTAATAGTACCTGAATTAATGGATGTGGCGTTGAAAACTCTAAAAAACAGAGATTGGTTGGCCACACACATGTACACATTGTCCCGGTAGGTGGCGTTTTTCACAATCCAATCCAGGCTGACCATGGATTGGTCGTGGATGTGCAGTGCTGCGCCTAGGATTAAAAACGTGTTATTTAATATACTTCAGCGACAGAGTAACACAGTTTATAATGAGGTGATCTTTTGTTTTACCAAACAGCTTTACCTAACAGTAAGGGCGGGGCGGGTGTTGGCACCCATCACCAGCCCCCTACCTTTAGCATAGATATGCATCAAGTTATTTTAAAGCCTCAATCGGGTTTTCCCTGTCTTCCATCAAAGCTACGATCATAACCTGTTGTTATTTAATGGTACGGAAACTAACAATTTGTTACAGTTAGAGCCTAGAAAATCATTGACATAGCCAGCCAACCTTTGGGCATCTTTTGAATGAGCTTGTAGAGTTTGGTCTGTTGAATGTACTGCTTGGAGCGGTAGAAGCTTGCTGTTGGGAGAAATAAACTTGGGGTGTCTCTACTCTCGTCTATCATGGCGCGTTTTTCCTGAGGGAGAATTTTGATGAAATAACTTGAACATGATTTAGGACTAATCTTGAATCCTTACTAGCTGTACTGTTATGTCTTTACAAAATTGTTTACTGTGTATTTGTCTTCTAAGCCAACAGTACTATTGATCTCCATAAGAGCATAAACCTACACATTTTCCGGAATTTAAGTACCCCGCCCCATACTAAACAAAATATTTGAGGGACAGTCTACGACTCCCATATACTAATCCAAATATTTGAGGGACAATCTACGACTCTCATACAAAATATTTGAGGAACAGTCTACGACTCTCATACCCAACAAAATATTTGAGGGACAGTCTACGACTCTCATACAATATATTTGAGGGACAGTCTACGACTCTCATACAAAATATTTGAGGGACAGTCTACGACTCCCATACCAAACAAAATAGAAAACCCAAACTCAGACCACATAAGCTTATGTCACTGCTCCATAGCCACTGACCTTCATGAAAATCTCATTGGCCAACTTCTCATCTAGCGACAGACTTAGGTGAGCACCGATTCTAGTATTTTCATCTTTGTAGATCAGGTCGTTCCTCATCTTCATGTAGACTTCTGTTGGGATAGGACCTGGCCTAACCAGTGGCACGTACACAGCCACTAACACTGTAGTGATGATCCAAGGGCTCGTTGCCATTGTCTACCTGTCTACTCAGCAAAAAGATAGTTTAATATCTTCATCGTATATATAGGCTATATATATATATATATATATATATATATATATATATATATATATATATATATATATATATATATATATATATATATATATGTATATATATTTATAGCCTATATATACATATAGCCTATATATATAGCCTATATATATATATATATATATATATATATATATATATATATATATATATATATATATAGGCTCTATGCCTATAAATACGCACTTGTATTTAACCATATTATTGTTCGTTGTTCATTTAAGTTTTTTAAAGACATACGTTAACAATTAATCATCTGCTGATGTAGGCCTGATTACTTACAAGTTACGTGTGCACCAACACATAAGGTTATTAGGAAATAAATAACTGCGCAGTAGCAATTAGAAGCTTGCACAACGGGGAAGTTTTCCGGAAATATCCGGACATTTAGAACTTTCCAAGGGCTAACATTATATGGGCCTGTGAAATACACCCACTTATGGACACGTTTAAGAAAGAATATATTTTTGTTATGAAATAAGACGTTATCGATTGTATATAATGTATGCATATAACGCAATAACGTAATTAGTAAGTTTATTAAGAGTCGTGTGTATTTGTGTACGTACCATTCAATTTTGTTTTAAATATAAAGAACGTTAAAATAAAATACATACATTTTTTGTTATCGCAAGATTATCTTTCTGTATTTTAAAACATGTAAACTAAACAAACCTTAAAATTATCCGAATCAAGAATTCACCCGAACCAATTTTATATTGTGTAATAAAAAACGTATTTGTTAGAATATCGAGACACTTTACTAGAACTAAACAGTTAACGTTAGCACAGAAAACAAAAAACGTTTTCTTAAAACTTGAATGAAATATTTAAAAGACAAGTAAACGTAACACAAAAACACATTTTATAAACGTCACTTACACCTGTAAAATGTGTGTATGTATGTGTGTATGTGTGTGTGTGGTATGAATCTTTACCTGTAGGGAGGTATGTCGCAGTCCGGGAAGTCAATCTAGCTCTGTCGCTTCACTGGTTTAGTATCCTGTTGTATCCGTCTTCATGTAAACATTAATCTCTAGTGTAGTCCATGGTACATCTGGGTTTCTCGGTGTTATTTATAGTTCGTATTGCGCTCTCTTTCAAATTTTATTGACGTATGCCGTGTGAGGCATCATGCATTACTAACACATGTTGAGTAGGGCTAAATTCACAGGTTGAATTCTTTGTAACACAAAAGAATATTTATCTACAATTTGTAATTTTTAAGATCGCATCTGTTCCCTCTTCTGGACTTCAACTGTAGAGTGGTAAATGTATACCGTCGTGACTGATAATAATCAGCAAAAATTATACTATTCAACCGACATGAGGGCCGGAGCAGCTTATCTACAGTGAATATTTTTAAAGTAAAATATGTAATAAAATTAATATAATGTATTCTACTCCCACGGGAACTGAGTCATTGGCTGGATAAGTTTTATAATGATTGGTATATTCTACTGGCTAAGTTTTATAATGATAGGTATATTCTACTCCCAGAACCAAGTCATTGGCTGGATAAGGTTAATAATGATAGGTATATTCTACTGCCGCGCGAACTTAGTCATTGGCAGGGTAAACTTTTGGTTTTGAAGTAATAATAAATTAGGAGCAGTAATGAGTAATGGGGGGGGGGCATGTGACCCAGTACAACACGTGAAAAAGCCCCGACCGATGTATGACAGCAAGTGGGATCATAATCAAGATGTTGTTATTTTAGTTTTACCACTCTACATAGATCTATAAATGAACAGAGATCCCATTTTGCCTTATGTTAGAGATTCTTTATTAAGGCATCAGAAAACTTTTTTTAAATTTCTAAATGTCATTCTTCGCATGGTCGTTTATATTTATACAAAATTGAGCAAAATATTAATTATAAGTTAGAATTTCCAATGGCTTGAAATAATTATAACAAAGAAATTACAGAAGGGAAGCAATTACAGTTAAGAAAGTTTTATTTCTTATCATGGTCGCTTATAATTGACACACGTCAGAAGTCTACACGTATTTTGTTTCTCGCCAATTGTGAGACATTTTTGTACCTAAGAAGGAATAAGTCAATCCAAATGTAAATGCAATATTTTTATAACCATGCTATTAATTTAAACCTTTGTTTTGAAAATCCTACGTTAAAAGAAACTTTCTAAAAAGCAAGGCAGTGATTAATGAAATGGCCAACAACGCTACATCAACACATTAATTTATGAAACAGGGATAACTGTTTCCTGCGTTCTTTTTAATTGTTTTTTTCCTTAGTTGCTAAAAATTGTTAGTCTTAATTATTGTAAACACTCGGTCACGTGATTTCAAACAGGACACGTGAGTATAGCAAACAGGAAACATTGGGCTGTGCTGTAAACTTGAACCACTGCCGTCTAGGTTTCAGCTGTTGGTTGGTCACTGAAAGCAACTTCCGTAGTTTGCTAATTGTATTGCTTAGACAAGCGTTGAATGCAGACTTGATATGATTCGGTGACCTTGCTACATTCGGGTGACCTTGCTAAATTCGGGTGACCTTGCTAAATTCGAGTGACCTTGCTACGGCTCCACAAAGATTTACTAAGACAACGGTTGAATGTAGACTGATGTGCTCCTTTGACCATGCTACAAAGAGTTGCCAATGTAGGCTGTCACTCCCTTTCTAAATTCTTAAAGAGTTTACACAGGTCGGCTTTTTATTAGATGACATGTAAGATTTACCAGAAAATATATTTGAAATAAAGGAAACAAGACAAAAACGTGTATCGGTTATTTAATAATTAATGTAATAATTATAAATATTTATCCCTTATGTTATCTTATGTTACTGTACATGGTCTATAAATCTTGGGTATTTAATTCAAACATGTGCTGCTTTGAAACTATCACTGTTTAAAGAATATATTTTACAAGTTAAGTTAGATACTTCGTTTCTGTTTGTACAAAATTCACTCGAACATCTGTCAGTTAAACAGTTATGACGTGTCTGTCAGTTAAACAGTTATGACGTGTCTGTCAGTTAAACAGTTATGACGTGTCTGCCAGTTAAACAGCTATGACGTGTCTGTCAGTTAAACAGTTATGACGTGTCTGTCAGTTAAACAGTTATGACGTGTCTGTCAGTTAAATAGTTATGACGTGTCTGTCAGTTAAACAGCTATGACGTGTCTGTCAGTTAAACAGTTATGACGTGTCTGTCAGTTAAACAGTTATGACGTGTCTGTCAGTTAAACAGTTATGACGTGTCTGTCAGTTAAACAGTTATGACGTGTCTGTCAGTTAAACAGTTATGACGTGTCTGTCAGTTAAACAGTTATGACGTGTCTGTCAGTTAAACAGTTATGACGTCACGTGTCTGTCAGTTAAACAGTTTAACGTGTCTGTCAGTTAAACAGTTATGACGTCACATGTCTGACAGTTAAACAGCTATGACGTCAAGTGTCTGTCAGCTAAACAGCTATGACGTCCTTGATGAACTTGGCCCAGTTCGACTCCCAGACCCCCATGGCTTCAAGTTTTTCGACGTAGTTAAGTCTGCTGTACCTGCAAGTAGAATCAGAAAACTGCTCATTGTCGTGTTTTGTGAAGTGCAGCGATCTATCACCTAGCTAAAGATGTGAGAACCGAGGGGGAAAAGCCTAAGTTAGGCGAAACCTAATTAAACACGAATCACTTGAGAACAAGATGTTTGAAAATAAAATTGTATGTTAGAAGAAAAAATAACATAACATTAAAGATGAATTGAGAATTGAGTTCAACCAGCTTAAAAGAAAGTTAAGACGGCTGTGCACGGTGCTCCTTCATCGGCCAAGCACACTCTAAATGGTATGAAAGTGTTGTTTACTTAACAAGGTTATCTATCTTTAAGGTAGAAAAAATAAACTAACTTGATAGAGTTGATGGCCAGTTGTTTGAGCAGTGTTAGGTCAGCATCCTCACTGGACATGGTCATAAAGGTGATGAAGAAATCAAACGACAGGGGACCAGAGTCCAGCGATGTGATGTCATCGGAGCTGATGACGATGGGCATGTTGTTGGCAATGAGGGCCGCCATTGGATGGTTTCTGAAATCACTGACCAGCCTCAGCACCTGACCATCACAAGACAGAAGTTTGTGAATAAAACTACAGTACACACATGACAACAAAGACTGAAACTTCTGTGTTTAGAAGGAAAATATATCGCTTTATTGTTTTACTATGTAGTTCTATGTATTTGGATAAAGATGGCTGATGCCATTATATAACTTGGGGGTGAGCCTTGATCGAGACAAGTGAAGCTGACCAGTTGTGATGCTACAGTTTAAGAATGACGGCAGGGGGGGGGGTCTTGGACCTTATCCAGGAAATAACCCCCACCTGTATCAATTATCCCTCTTGTCAATTACCCCCTCCCCAAGGAGATTACATACTACACTAACCACTATCCCTATCAATCAACATTCTTAGCCTAATTATTTTTAGTTGTAGGGTCAATTACTAATCTCCATCTGCAATTATTTTTTAGGCGGGGAAATTACCGGGGTATTTACAGGATGGTAAAGTCAGAGAGATGTGGTGTGTTGAACGCATTGAACCTCCTCCCTGTAAAATTTAGGAGCTTTTTAAAGGACATCACTAATATATCATTTTTCGAATCGCTTTTGTAAGTCTTGAACAAAAGAGATACATCCAAACATTTGTGCCTGTTTTATTTTTTTTCTTCTACGTTCTTAAAGGAAATATAGAATAAAATATTAAATAATATTCCTAACAATAATTTAACTACCCATCATGCGTTTATAGCGAGGGGGTGAATGCATGCTATAGTTATAACAAAAGAAAACGAGACAAACTCCCACTTATATGTTTGTACCTGATTAGATATAGGCTGGACCTCTATAGCTATATCCCTTTCTTTCACTATCTCCATCAGCCTGGGGTGTTTTCCTATGGCGTATCCGTGCCCGATTCGTGTTGTGTTCAACAAAATGGCGTCCACTATATTTCTGTCAGTTTTAGTACCCTGCCAGTCTAACAGATATATTTATACAGATTTTAAAATTATAACTACACGCTATAGAGTGCTTTTAATACATATTTATAAATGTCATATTTATTGGGTCTTACTTAATATTTTTTTTAATTTGACTACTCAAATAATGACTCGATTAAGGGTCATAGATGTGTGTAAACAGTGGCGTAGGCAAGGGGGGGGGGGGGGGTAGAGGGGATATAACCCCTCCCATGGACTCACACCCATATATATATATATATATATATATATATATATATATATATATATATATATATATATATATATATATATAATGACTTAATACATATGGAAAATATTTGAACCCCTCCCATGACCAATTCCTGGCTACGCCACTGTGTGTAAGTTAAAAAAAAAATATCCATACTAGTCTCCCCTGCATGAAAGAAATAAGGTAAACTGTTGGGCGGGCTTTGTCTGGACGGGTAGAGCAACGCCTCGATGTAGTGGACTATCGGGTTGAAGAAAGCTTCGTTGCCGGCCATGTCGTAGCCGATGATAAACTCTGGGTACTTCCGGTGTAGGGACATGGTAGACTTGACCTGCTCCAGGATCTCGTCCACAGGGTCGCTTCTAGAAAGGTGAGGGTGGGGGGAGGGTCGGGGGGGGGGGGGGGGGGTAATGCGTCAATGCTTGCAGAAAACGTTTGGCTTCGTTAATTAGTCACATTAATTTACATAACCCTAGAATAAGTGACTGACCTTGAACCGTCGAGGATCCACTTGACGCCAGTGAAACCTGGATGTGTGTCCTTGAACTCATTAACTGCAGCTTTGATTAGGTTCACGCTGGTCTCGAGATCGTGAACTGTGCCGTTCAGTTCAAACAACTGTTGTTGGTTCAGTTTTTTGTTTTTTTTTAATTATGTGTATGTTAACACAACTAATATGCATACATTCTACTTTTCAATTATATGAATTGTCAAAATATTAAACATGTGAAATCTATTTTTTTTTCGCCTCTCTGAAATTTTTTTTCATACGCCTAGGTCAAGAAACATATGAACTCTACTTCATCTGCCCATGGATCACTAATTCTAAAGAGGAATGTTTACTTTTTAGTGTTTAATAAACGACAACGAGAAACATGTTATTACGATAACAATTTTTCGACACTATTGGTGTTGCACATCCCTAATGAATCTTAGTCACACTTAGTCTTAGGGACAAGGTATTGCTGTTTTAATTAGATCTAAAACCAATCAACCGATCAACCAATCAATCAATCAACTGTTTCATTCTAACCAAACTAACCGTGCTTGGGCCTCCACGGATCTCCAAATACTGCACATTGTCTTGATAGAATTCTTCCAGTGTTTGTACAACCATGTCTATGTACACAGGGGTGTACGTTAACAGCCCGAGGATCTTCTACATCAGATAAATAGTGTACAAAAAATGACGTTTTAACGTCCATTTTGTTTAAATAGATACAATTTTAAAATGACAACTATGTTATTGTTAATAATTATAATGTCCATTGATTCAACGCAAAAATATGTATTAATTGCATACATTTTTTTATTTAAAAAAAAATGTCATTTATAATTCAACTCCTACCAAAAAAGTTAAAACTAATAGTAATATCACTAATAAACTTAGCTCAAGTTAAAGAGCATATGGCAGTTGTTCTTACTTGGTGAAAGTATGCGCGAAACGGGACCCAAGCCGCTTGGTTGTCTTCGAAAGTCGTGAAGGGATCGCTGGATAACAAGGTCAGGTTCTGACATATTCTGTAGTAAACAGATCCCAACTGTGTTGTAATGCATGTATACAACATAGGAGAACCAGTAACATTTTATAGACGTGGTGGGCTGGCTGCGCCCAAGAAATGAGGGAAATTTTTAAAGGGAAAACAACCCCAAAATAAAATTTTCAATGTACATTTCAACCCATCAGAGCGTGATGATCATACTATTCTTGAATACATTTAACGCGACCCAATATTTTTTTTAATCAAGCACGTTTCTTGGACCCCACGGGGATTTCTTACCAGGATTTACCCCGATATACTGGCAGGCCAGCCCACCCCTGCTGTATAGAATAATTTAGTCTTAAACTTATTGCACTTAAATTATTATAAAATTAAGTTATTAGCATCAATAGAAAAAGAATATCACACTTAGCATCAAATGATTTTATGTCACTTTCTGAGGCTCTCAGTGTCCTCAATAACTTCCATTCACAATCTGTAAGTTAAATAAACAACTCGTATTTTAATGGTTTGTAATGAACTACTTTAAAAAGTAAGCAAATTGAGCTATCTCAAAATTATCTATGGAGTGAGTTGTCTTTGGTCATATGTTCCTCATGATGAAGATGTTAATGATGAAGATGATGATAATGATGATGATAGCGGTGGTGATGATGAAGATCACTATGACGATGATGATGATGTTAACTTATTTATTACCTGAAGCAATGGCTGATTCGTTGAAAATCCGAAAATTGAGCGATTGGTTAGCTTCACACATGTACACATTATCCCGGTAGGTGGCGTTGTTTACAACCCAATCAACACAGACCATTGATAGGTCGTGGATATGCAGTACAGCGCCTGTAGCCATAGATCAAAACAGATTCTAGTAGTCCCATTTATATCAATTCAAACCTCAATGGAAATACCTAAATCGCATTCATTCACCAACAAGCGATACAAGTCCATTATAGTTTAGTCAGTTATGTTATGGAATTGAATGACAATATTGCATTTATATACTTATGGACTTTTTAAAGTTCTAAATACTTTTTATTTGCTATTTCAGATTAGTTAATTTTAACCCGACTTATGTTTATTAATCTAAATTTTTGGTCAGCCAACCTTTGGGCATCTTTTGAATGAGTTTGTAGAGTTTGGTCTGTTGAATGTACTGCTTGGAGCGGTAGAAGCTTGCTGTTGGGAGAAATAAACTTGGGGTGTCTCTACTCTCGTCTATCATGGTGCGTTTTTCCTAGAAAAATTTTGAAGAACTAACTGTTATTTGAGTAAACGCTAGTTTTCAAGGATCAAATCTGAAAAAAAAAATTGAATTACCAGAAAAACATTAAACTTATTCTTATATATTTTTTTAGAAATTATAAGATTTTGTTTTGTTTTACATGTTCCTCAGTTAGAGCAAAAGACTTATCGAGGCCAATATGGTATCTTGGTTCCTGTCTCTCTGTGCAGATGTGTCTCACTTTATCTTTACCGTTTCTTGAAATACTATGTGTGGTCAGTTCACTACAGCTCGTGAATCAAGGTTTATGTCAGAACACAAATATTGCCTGTAGTCTTATAATCTAGAAATAATTCGTAGGATACAACCAATGTTTGCGCTGTACTCCTTGGCCAAAATACTTCATAATAAGAGGTGGTGAGATTTATTCGTACATTGAATAAAATAAATAAAGTAACAACGGTCCCAAACAGATTATATCGTTAAAACCAGCAATCAGTTCTACCTAAAGCCTAACTGTCCGACTTAAACTAGGTGCTTCCACCCACCTTCATGAACACAGCGTTAGCCAACTTTTCCTCCTCCGTTAGATTCAGCTGAGAGCCAATCCTCGTGTTTTCGTCTTCAGAGATGAGAGAGTTCCTCATGTTCATGTACTCATCTGTTGGAATCGGGCTGGGTGTCACCAGTACTGTCACAACCACCAACATCAAAAGCGATGTTACGCATTTGGTGATTGGGGACATTTTCTGATGGGGAAAATTTTTTTTTACGTGAGGTTGAAATAAAACATAAATCTGCATCAAAATAAAACGTTCGTAATTAGAAACGGATCGGCGTGGTCGGGTTGGTAAAGCTCATAGTTTCTAAACCGTAACGTCCCGAATTCAAACCAATGGCAGATAAAGCTCGATAGCTGAGAAAACTCCAAATCAAATAGAATCCATAAAGAAAAGCAGGTTGGAATCAGAGTCGACGGACTATAAATATGGCGCATACTAAGTTGGAAATCCATTCCAACATCACAATTTAGAACTTAGAAGAAGAGGTTATTGATTTATCCATTTGCTCAGATTCTCCCTATATGTGTTTCGACCTTAATCTTACCTGTATACGATCCTTAACAAAGAAATAAACGTATTGCAAGTCTTACAATCTGGGGCTTCAAAATATAAGCATTCGTTGCATTTTTTTGTATTCCCTATCTAGGTTTGTCTCAAAGGTGTATCTGTTGTGTGGGTTCGGGTTATTTCCTCCTTTTAATGCTTTTTATCATGGCCTAAGCTTCTTTTAGACGCAGTTTGATAACGTGCACATAAATAGTAAATATTACTAACTAAAATAGCTGATATAAAAGCACCAAACAGCGTTCGTTACCTATGTCCTTGGGTTTAGTAATAGAACCGAAAAAGATATATACATCAATCTTTTTTGTATATTTTAGTTTTCTTGCTATAAAGTTCTAACATATTCGTGACTTTTTTGGCTTTTATTTTTTGAGGAATGTGTGATTTTGTTTTTGAAGAGCGAAGAGGAACCAAACCAGGATGTTCTGCTTCTTCAGGGTAAGAGAACGTGAGGGGGGGGGGGGGAATCAACACTAGTATTAATACAGTATTAACGTTCAAAGGTGGGCATAGTACAAATTCAACTGCTTTAGCTTTCTATAAAAAAAATACTATAAGCTTAAGAAAAGACAGTCTGAATGTAGCCTCTAGTTCTAGATGTTGAAACTCCCAACTCTTTTTCGCAGAGCAAAGTTCTCGGCCTCTAGATAGCAATGTATAATTCTACCGATTATTTCAGTATGTACAGTTTTAAGCAGTGTTATAATATAGGATAAAATGTTTGCTTTAGACTGATAACACAGACTTTCTTCATAGCTATAGCTATGTCTTTTGTGTCTGTGCCATTATCCTTTGGTAGCCTACATAGCTTATCTAAAGACATATTTTATGATTAATTATCAGTAGTAATAAAATAATTTGGTAAGAGGAAACACTGGAATATTCGAGAACTTGTTTATTTAAAATGTCACAATTTAAAAAGACTAAAAGAAAAATAATGGAAGCATATTGAAACTTAAAAATATATTGACATGCACAATATTTATTTTTTCTTAGTTTTATTTCATTAAAATGTATGTCAAATTAAAACACAAAATATATAGATAATTGTGGTAATGTATATACAATTTTTAGCATACAAAGCTACATTATGGCCTACTGTAGGCCAACTGGGATATGTCAGCACATTTTTATAGATAGACCATTAGGGGTAGATAGGCACATTACAAGGCAATGAAAAGCAACTCTTCTGGTCATAAATTGTCCTGTACAAATGCTGACTATACAAGAATGTTAAAACACAATGTCTGGATTATTTTAATTAGAACGTGTTATAATTAAGTAATTTAGTTTTAACACAAAGATTGACTAGAAATAGCTCTAGCAAAATAATAAGAAGTCATCTATATTTTTTTTAATTTGAAAATCATGGTATATTTTTAAAATCAAAGCTGAATAAATAGCCAAGATTCAATGACCTATCAACCCAACATTTACACTGTGGCAACCAAGATAAGAATGCCTGAACAAACAACAGATATACAGTAGCTGGGAAACCTGCATAAAGGCCCCACATGATATCTGTGCATTGGGGCAGTACGAGCTACAGGCAGAGGTGTAGCCTGGGAGGGGATACAGTGTACCTGCTGTAGGTTGCAGTTTTGGTTCTAACTGTAAGTACACAGAGGGCATCAAAATCTAAACCACGGGCTACATAACTAAAATTTCCTAAGAAGGTTAAAAAAAATGTTTACTATAAGAAATGTAAGCCTATATTGAGAATTCAGAAAAGTCAGAAGAAATCACATGAAACTGGATTAAATGTACTATTATGTCATCAGTATGCATATAAAAATATAACTTATTTAGCTTGCTGCATTCAACAAGTTATACCACAAAATAAGGTTATATGTATCAAAGATAGATATTAATAAAAAATTAAAATTAAAATAATGCATCACAAGTTTTGTGCTAAAACTGTTTAGAAATTTCACTGACCCCTTTCCTCTACATATACATGTTTACAAGTAAGATAGCTCTGTCCAACTACCTCTAATTCACTGACTGCAGTATCATTGTTAACATGATTCTAAAACAGCTTGTGAACAAGGTGTGGGGAAAAAATATCAACTCAGGGTAAAATAAAAAGTTTTAAAAACAAACCAGAATAAGTATTCAAGGGAGGTAACAGATTTTTTTCAAGTTGTAGAGCATTGGTTCAATAATAATTAGTCTTTAGTTTAAAGCCAGGTCAAATTTCCTATTGTTATATAAAACTCAAGTACCTGACCTTTATGCCTGATAAATCTGTTCATTTAAAAATATTTACAATGTTGTAAACAAAAAGTGTTCTTATGAAAAAAAATAAAACAGAAGAAAAATACTTTGTAAGGAAAATCACATCAAATAAAGAAATAGTTAAATTTAAATAGTGGTTAAAATATATTAAAATTAAAAAAATGGGTAACTGATGGCACTTTAAATTATAATACTCAAATAAATACAAGATACAACCTACCAATAAAAGTATTTAGTCATTGAAATTGAACTTTTAGATAATACATTGAAAGTAATAAAACAGATAAATTTCATTTATAAATGTTCATCCATATTATTTAGCTGGATAAATACTGTCTTGTAGAATCTTTTTAAAACAATTCAGTATTTGTAGTGCATAATAGCAAAGATTTCCAAAAGGAACAAAAGAAAACCTTAACAATAACAATCAAAGTTAAGTACTTTCTACAACAAACATTTCAGAAGAACAGGGAAAATAACTAATTTTTACTGCCTTCTTTGATTGCCATAACACATTTTTTTAAAACTCTGGACTTCATACTTTGTGCTTATTGAATCAAATTTTTATCATACACATAAACTGTCTACCTGAAAAATGGTGTCACAAACAAACTATAAAAAATATTGGAATATAATTAACTATATTCTCTTACATTTAACACAACAAATGACAAGTTCATAGTATTGTATGCATGAACTAAATATGGGAAATATTCAGATGGTTAGTAAGTGCTTTAAAATAAATCACCACAAGCTTTTTACTGTTTCCTTGATGAATTCATCCCAACTTGCTTGCCACTTTTTAAAAGCTATTCTTTTCTCACCTTTTGTCATTGCACTATACCTGAAATGAAATATGACATTTGTTTCGACAAGTGGAAAGTGGAATAATATTAAATGGTAGGCCTACTAGCTAAATGTTAAATTGATTTAGAACACAATCACAGGTGATTGATTAAAAGTCAAGATTAAAAAAAACGTTCAACCATACTGTAGACCAGGGGTCTCCAAACTACGGCCCGCGGGCCGGATGCGGCCCGCGAAGTCCTCTCATCCGGCCCGCTGAGATCTTTTTGTCCAAGGAAAAATTGTTTGTTGGTGATGGCTGAGAAACTTTGTCCAGAAAAATCAAAGACATGCCTGGAAGAAACTGGCCCCCGAACTGAAATTTGATAGTTAATGCGGCCCTCGGACTGAAAAGTTTGGAGACCCCTGCACTGTAGACCCACATTAGCTTTTAAATTAATACTATACTTTCAACTTTAAAAGTAAAAATTCAGTCTGTAGATTATTTATTTTTCAAGCACTTAAATAACAACAGAAAGTGAAGTTAAAAGTAAAAATGTATTTGGTATATAATTATCTCTTATGATTAAAAAAAAATGGTTGAAATATAATATACTTCTCTTACGTAATGGAGTTATTGGCCAGTTGTTTAAGGAATGTCAGGTCTCCATCTTCACCAGACATGGCCATGAAAGCCATGTAGAAGTCATGTGACAGGGGCGTGGCCTCCCACACTGAAGGGTCATCAGAGCTTACGACAAGAGGGAAGTTGTCTCTCATGAGGCCTGACATGGGGTGGTTACGTAAATCTGTTACAAGTCGTAGAATCTATTGAAATATTTTAGTTGTTGAGAACACTCACAAATTTATGTATATTGGGAAAATATGTTTGGAAAAAAATTCAGCATAATGTAACAAAAATTTAATAAATCCATAAATAATTATCGAGTAGTAACAATTTATATAGGAGTAGAGTTTTTTAAATCTAAAATTATTGACTTCCTTACCTGATTAGAAATAGGATTCACCTCGACACCAATATGCTTAGCTTTAACCATTTTAACCAGTTTAGGATGTTTAGAGAGAGCATACCCATGCCCAATTCGTGTGGTGTTCAGCAATAATGCATCATACAGGTTTTGATCAACTTCTGTTGACAGCCAGTCTACAAACAATTGTATAATTTATAGCTGTATTAATCTTTTTGATCCATGGAAATTAACATATTTTTAAAGTGGTAATTAAGTAACAACTTGTTTAAAATAGAGCATCAAAGATGATTAATTTTAATGAGCTTGTTGGTTAAACTATGTAAACACAAAATCTATTTGGCACCAGGAATAAATCAAATTCTATGAGTTTCCCTACCTCTAACAGCTAATTTAATAAGGCTGAGCAAATCTCAGGTAAAATATCCCCAAATTCTTTTTTTCACACCACCTTTTTTCAATATAAAAAGAATAAATCTACTGACTATTTGCTGGTTCTGAGTCCAATTTTATAACAATTAATGAAACAGAGATTTTTTGTTATGATAGGAACTAACCAGTTTCCCCAGCATGAAAGAAGTAAGGCAGATGGTATGGAGGGTTCTGTTTAGATGGATAAAGAAGTGCATCAACATAGTAGATCAGAGGCTTGTACCACTGCTCATCAGACACCAGGTCAAACCCTGCCATAAAGTCTGGATACTTTTGATGTAGCTGGATGGCAGTCTTGATCTTTTCTAGAATGAAACTTTCATTACTATTCCTGTTATAAAGACAGTATAGATATTTAGGTTATGTAAAGTATAGAAATTTAGTATTCTTTTTTTGCCGGCTATTATTAGTGGTAGTAAAATTTTAACTATAAATTGTTTAGTCCATGGCTTGAACTCTCAGTGCAAGAGTTTAGCAAACTCGGAAGGATTAATTGTTGAAACTCCAACAAGGATATTTACATGTTATTTATAGGTGTACATACCTATTACCGCACATGATAACTTTGACACCAATAAAATTCGGATATTGTTTCATAAATTGCTCTGTCACATCCATAATCATTTGTAATCCATATTCTTCATCATACTGTGTGCCATTTAAATCATAGAGCTGAAAAATACATTAGAAACTATTATTTCTAATCAAAATTCTGAATTTTAATAATGCTATAAATAAATAAAGCAATTAAAAACTAAAAATGAAAAAAAAATACTTACACCCCATAGCTGGCCTCTAAGTTCTAAATATTGAACATTATCTGCCCTGAATTCATCCAATATTCTCCAGTAGTAATCCCTAAATACTGGAGCATAGTAGATCAGACTGTACACCTGCAGGATTGGAAGAAAAATATTCAGTACAATTTGCTACAATGGTTGGTAAACAATAAATAAGCGACTTTCTGAATCACTGATGAATATTATACTCCATCTAGGGAGGTTGTCTATTTTTTGACATTAATTACATGTATAAATGTAGTCCAATAGCTAGGTCAAATTACAATACTTTTTAAAACAAGTAATTAAAAAAAGTCTAGTGACAATTTTAGCGCAATTTCCTTATGTTATCTAAAAATAGCTCTGTCGTAGCGTAAATCAAGAGCAGGGTTAGTAAAACCATTGGTTAGTTATTAAAACGTTTTTTATTTTTATTTTTTTCAGTATTTTACATGTTTTATTTACAATAGAGTAACATGACTAAAAACCATTGCGCGCCTAGCTACCGAACGTGATGGCGCAGCTATTGAACGTGATGACGCGTGTGGTGTGGTTGCATAAAATGCCTACTAATTCGGTCCAAATTTTAATTAATTCAAAAAAAATTTTGTGACCAAACGAAAGGATATTTTTGAAAACTTTCTTCGGCAGTATTGTTCTAAATTATGGCAGGAATCGATTGGTACATGTTTCAAGTCGCTAAGTGGTCTGGTTGCCGAGATATGGGGAAAAAACTGCATTTTTTCCAGGTTTTTTGGATTTTCCGGGAAATACATGAAAGAAACCCGGAATTTTTATGGCCTATGCTCATTCTCGTAACTTGCTTAACATAATTGTTTTTGTAACTAGTCATCGATATTGCTTCGTTGAGGAGGAGATACGACTTAAAGCCCGGACACACATTCATCCATACATTCATCCATCCATCCATCCATCCAGAAATGACGAGTTAATAAACGCAATTCTCCAGAATGGAAATTGCGCTAAAAATTCAACTCTTTCAATTAAAACCTAACCTTAGCAAACATGAATATCAATTTTAACCTGAATAAAATACTCTTGAAATCTTTGCCAAGCTTTATCATTGTCAGCATAAGTTTCAACTGGATCTGTTACCATCATACTTAGATTGCTTTTTAACCTGAAAGGATAAGACACAGTAGAATTAAACATATACATAAATAAATGTCTGTGCTTTATGCATTACTACACCATCCTTCTGATTAAAATGATATTTTGCATAATTGTTGAGAATACTAGACAAAAATTTCAGAGGGACGGAAGGGCAGTAGCGTAGCGAGGGGGGGGGGGGGGGAAATATGTCCCCGGGCGCCGAGCTTAGGGGGCACCAAAATGAGTTGGAAAAATAAATTGAAAGGTTGAGGGGGGTGCAAATTGAAAGTTTGAGGGGAGGGGGGGTGCAAATCGAAAAGTTTGTCCCCGGGCGGCGGGAAGGGTCGCTACGCCTCTGCGGAAGTGTGAGGTTTTTCTTGATGTATGGTATTTGAAAATAACAGTCGAATGCGGTTTGACAACCAGAGTTCCAGAGCAGCTATCTTAGCACTTGGTATCCATTGATTTGACGTCCTGCATAGGAGGCCAGGGGTAATACTTGATACAACTGTAAAATTACACCAGGTGCATTCGCCTGGCGCCCCAGTGGTTGAGTGACCCAGGGCGCACTGGGCTCCCCAGTTAGCACAATCAGTGGCGTAGCGAGGTCGGGTGTCACCCGGTGCGGCACTTAATTGTGTCAACCCCCCCCCCCCCCCCCCCCCCCCGAGGCGTAGCGACCCCCCCCCCCCTCAAATTTTCGATTTGAACCCCCCCTCAAGTTTTCTATTTGCACCCCCCCCCCCTTCAAACTTTCGATTTGCACCCCCCCCCCTCATGTTTTTCTCTATATATTTAGCTATTTTTTGCCTTGGTGTCACCCCCTAAATGGGTGTCACCCGGTGCGGTCCGCACCCCCCCCCTCGCTACGCCCCTGAGCACAATGGCGCCTACATGCGTTAAAAAAAAAAGCTATGCACTATGGATACAAAGGGCTACTGTAATCGTTCGCTAAAATGAATCGAACGCGACTTCCGGTACCCCAGCGGGGTGCGGTTTGGCGCCGTGTGAGCACTTCAGCACCTACGTTCGTTTTTAAGACAGCCATGGATATGGTGGGCAACTATTATTGTTAGCTTAATAGAACCTGACGCATCTACCGGCGCACTGGCGGTCAGGTGACCCGGAGCACCCGGGATCCCTTGACTAAACCGAACTAGGGGAGGCACACGGCGACCCTCGGTAGTTTAACCGGTGGCCCCCGAGAGCGTCACAAAACGCCCCTGATACATGGGTGGTCGCCGAGGTGGTCGCATCTAACAATACACTATTGGTAACGCATTGATGAAATCCTCTAAAAAATTACGCCAGCATGCAGCAACGCGCAGGACGCATATGTTAATTAATACTAAAAAAAAATAAACCGGGAGTGATCTCCCCTAAACTTTCTCGAATATTCTAATATAACACTACAGGGGATGGCAACTCGGGATATAGACTTCTAGACATGATTTTTAATCCATTTTAAATACTCACATTTCTTAAAATAGAATATAATCTCGTAGAAAAAAGAAATGCACACCAAGTGAACGCTAAATAAAAAAGCGCATAATAGTGCGCAATATTATAAGTACTTTATAAATTTACATGCGTTTTTTGAGAAATCGGAAATAGCCTAAATAAGTACTTCCGTCAACGGAAATTACTCAAAATTTGACAGAAGGTAGAGAATTAGCTCTTTTACTTACATATCAAATTTCATTTATCTATCTGAAATAGTACTCAAGTTATAGGCTTTTGAAAAATTCAAAGTAGAAAAAGTACCACTTCCGGTTATCGGAATTCGCTCAAAAGTTGATACGGATCTACGATTTTGATAAAATACTTATATATGAAATTTCACTAGCCTAGCTGTAACGGTACTCAAGTTATCGTGTTTACACACGGACACACAGACACACACACAGACATACGGACAAGATTGCAAAATTATGTTTTTCCGTATCAGTGAGGTGTAAAACGTCGAGATTTGTAAAAATCTCGATTTTTTTTTTTGCACGATTACAATACTTTCTCTATACTACGTATATACGAGAAAGTAAAAAGCTCTCAAGAATTAAACAAGTTAATTAAAAAGTCTAGTGACATTTATGCGCAATTTCCTTATGTTATCTAAAAATAGCTGACGTATAATGCTGGGGTGCGTTCAAGCTAGGAGAACGATCGGTTTGTAGGTGTTTATGTAATTTTAAAATTTGTGACCGAACGAAAGGATATTTTTGAAAACTTTCTTCGGCAATATTGGTTTAAATTATGGCAGGAATCGATTGGTAAATGTTTCAAGTCGCTAAGTGGTCTGGTTGCCGAGATATGTAGCAAAAACTGCATTTGTTTGAGGTTTTTTGGGTTTTCCGGGAAATCTATTAAGGAATTCCGGAATTTTTTTTGGCCCACTATCATCCTCGTAACTTGCTTAACATAATTGCTTTTGGAACTAGTCCTCGATATTGCTTCGTTGAGGAGGAGATACGACTTAAAGCTGCTAACACATCTATTCCCAGAAAAGACGAGTTAATAAACGCAATTCTCCAGAATGGAAATTGCGCTAAAAAAGCTCTCAAGAATTAAAAAAATAAAAATATATTTAAAAATATACACTTTCGTTCAAAATTTCAAAAAATGTGTATGTCTATAAATAGAAGTTAAATATAAAATTATATCGACAAGATGTGAGGGGATAGGCTATAAGCACGTTGCATATTTTCTCTATCGTTGGCGGATAAAAGCACTTCCGAAATGAACACTATGGTATTCATTTATACATTACTAGCTGCATACCCGTGCTCCGCCACGGTGAATATTTTTAAAATGTACCAACTATTGAACAGAACAAAAGAAAACACTTCGATATTCATTTATACATTACGAGCCGACCCGCGGCGTATCATACGCCGCTATTTAGTTGTTTTATTTTCTACTTTTCAGTAATTCATAATTTGTGAATTCGACAGTACCAATGCTGCCACTGAAAATATTTGCTTTAAAACACTATCAGTAGCTCGTTGAAGACGATAACCCCCCCCTTCCCCCCCCCCCCCCCCGTGAAAGCAAACTCCTCTTAGTTACCTCCCCTAAGTTTAAAATCGTTTCAAACTACATTATCTGCCCCTAATAGCCATCACTAAACCCGGCTCTACGATTGTAAACATTTAGCGTGAACCGCAAGTTCACTAGACCATGTAGGGGTGGGGGTGGTAGGAAGCGCGCTTACAGCTTGGTGTTTTCTGTGGTCTCCAAAAAGAGAATTATATATATAGATATTCACTGTCAAATGTTAAAATTATCAAAATGTCTTTGCTTGTGGATCTATGCTTCCATGCACGTCCGCCGCTAAAATTTGTCACTGTTAAAATAACGACTTGCTTCCGCCAACGTCCGCAAATATTTAAACAGGAATAATCTGTTTCCCTGGGCGTCGGTGCTTTCAATACTAACATTTATTTTCTGCTGGGGTGATTCAACAACAGCGACAGTTAGGACACGACATAGATCCCATAACAATAAGCTTCGCCTCGAGTTGTGGAAGGTCCATGCTCAGGAAGCTTCGCCTCTGTTATCGGATAGTATGAAAGTAGGACCTAAAGTGACTACGGCGACGACACGACAGATATCCATTAACATTAGCTTCGCCTCGAGTTGTGGAAGCTTCGCCTCTGTTAGTGGATAGTATGAAAGTAGGTCCTAAAGCGACATCTACGGCGACGACAAAGGTCCACTAACAATAAGCTTCGCCTCGAGTTGTGGAAAGTCCATACTCTAGAAGCTTCGCCTCTGTTAGTGGATGGTGACTGTGCCGCTGTTGTTAGTGGATAGTAGAGACATGGTCGATTGTTTTTAAAAAAAATTTCACCATATGAAAGGTTCGGTTCAGTAAATATTAATCTATTAATTGTTAGGGTTATATTAATTTAAAGATCAATCGTATGCTTTTTTAAAATCCTGCAGATTTTAAAGGATGGTTAAATTAGTGTTGGGTTTTGTTTAGGTTGCTGCTCATGTGTCGTGAAGGTTGGGTATGGAGTGGTGCGGTTTGGGGCGGGTGGGATCGGGTTTGATCTACTCCGTGTCTTGTGAGGTGTATGTGTGTAGTTGTGTAGGCTGTGGTGTATAGGGAATGGTGTGGATCATGAGATTAGTGGAGTGAGGTGTATGTGTGTAGGCTGTGGTGTATAGGGAATGGTGTGGATCATGTGATTAGTGGGGTGAGGTGTGGCTTGTGGTGAGGTTGTGGGATTTGGTTCGTGGGTTTTAGTTCAATGTAGAGTGTGGTGTTTTTTTTTGCTTTGGGTGTGGTGTGCGATGTGGTTCAGGTTGTTAGGTGGCATTCGGATGAGTAATGACTAGTGGACTGGGGTTTGCTTTAGTGTTGTTTATTGTCTCTTGCTTTGTGAAATGGTGTGCATTAAGGTGTTGAGTAAGGTAGTGTGGGTTTTGATCCACTCTGAGCGTTTTGTTTAGTGTGGGTGCGTTTTGTTTGGTGAATCGTGTGTATGGTGTGGGATAAGCAATTGGGTGTGAATCATGGGGTTAGTGAGGTGAGCTGGGTTATGCTGTGTGGTGTGGTGTGTTGTAGGGTAAGAGGATGGGGGTTGGGGTGTGGGACAGGTGGTGTGGGCTGTGGTTGTGGTTCATGGTGACGTGCAGGTTGGAATGTTGTTTTTTTTCCCTTCTGTTATCATCTTTCTTTAATTCTTTTCAATATCCAATTTTGTAAAATTAATATTTACTTCACGAGAATTTCAAAATTCTTTTTTGTTTTATGTTTCATCATGATCATCATTTCCCGTTTGTGCCCAAGACACATGGGGCAAATGAAGTAGAGTTCATCTGCTTCAGAGTGTGGTCAACACTATGCCCAGTCGCCTTTGTTTCCCTTACATAAGTTAGGTACCCATCAAAGTTGGGCAGACTCAGAGATGTTCCACTGATTTGAACCCGGATTTGAACTTGAGACTCTCGGGTTAGTAGTCTAGCTCTCTACCGCTAGGCAATGCCGTCCCATGTTATATGTTTATATATATTTTCTATCCTCCAAAAAGTTCATTTCAGAGTTTCAGATTGTAGGGAAGCACGGGTATGCGGCTCGCCTAAAAAATAGCATTTGATCCCAAGCAACGCACATTTTACAAAATTTTACACATAGTCCGGGTTGATTTAAACTCACATAGCATCAAAGGCATCAGGATCTTGTGAGCCCCTAGCATCCTTTACTAATATCCATTTACAATCTGGGATAAAGCAAAATAAAATTAAAAAATAAAGGAATGAACATTTGTTTGTAATATTAGTAAATAACTTACTGAAAACTACAGATATTCTAGTATTTGTTATTAATCTGATTACAGAAAATCAAGAATTTTTTTTTTTTAATTGTAGTTTGTAATTACTATAGACCTATTTACCTGGATTTACTGGAGGGTTTTGAAAAGCATGAAATAACAAATACTGATTTTTGTCAAAGCACATGTAGATATTGTCCCTGTACGTGGCATTTTTTATCAGCCAGTCCAAGCTTGCCCCAGCAAGATCATGAACATGCAGGGCTCCACCTAGTTTATTTATATCATAAACAATTGGTAGCGAGCAGGAAAAAATAAGACAGAATTTGATTTACATTCGTAAAAATATGAACTCAAAGGAATTATAATTGGTTGACATGAGAGAATATAGCCTTCAAAATTACAAATATGCTAAATATTTGTTGTAAAAGATTTGTTAACTTACACTTCCAAATTTTCAGGGTGACAGGGAGGGATAGCCACTATGATGGTTTACAGTACAGTTAAGTTCCATTTTCAAACCAGACACCATGGGGCAAGTGAAGTAGAGTTCACCTGTTTCTGTGACTTTAGCATGTGAAAGGATAGTGTGGTCAACACTATGCCCAGCCATCTTTACTTTCCCTAACATGTGTTTGGTGACCATCAGAGTGGGTGCACTCAAGGTTATTCTATTGACTTGAACCCCGGTTTTGACTTGAGACTTTCAGGTTAGTAGTCTAGTGCTCTACCTCTCCATCTACCATGGCGGTTTAGTAAATTATTTTTTTGTCATCCAGCATTAATATTATATTACCTTTTGGCATTTTCTGTATCCATTTAAATATAGTAGTATTTGCAATTAATGGCTTCACTTTGAAGAAACTTAAAGATGGTATGTAACTAGCTCTATTTGTAAGACTGTCATTAATCATCTTTATTTTCTCCTGGAAAAAAACATTTATAAACTTATGACGTGGGCTACATAGTATAGTAAATAACCTTTAAAAAATTGTGTTTGTATAAAAATACTGATTTTATGAACATATTTATGTTGATTTAAATATATTTAAGATAATAACTGTAGTTGAAGCTAGGACTAGCAATATCAATCACACTGCGTTTTCTTTATTTCTTCAATGTTACTGTTGGTCAACATTAATCACATAATTGTCAACCTTTACTTCTAACATGTTCAAATGTAAACCTAATAAATACAAACTAAACAAACAATATGGGTACACAAATAAAGCTTAAAGGGCTTTTACAGTATTACTTCAGTTCAATAAAAATGAATATTTAAAAAAAGTTACAAGTTTACCTTCATTATAGTGTCATTGATCACCTTTTCTGCATCACTAAGTACTAAAAGTCCACCAATTTTTAAGGAATCCTCATCATGAATTAAATCATCCCTCTTGCTCATATAATCTGGATCAACACTGCTCGGCTTAACACTTGATATAATGAAGACAATGGCAGAAACATAGAACAGGTTCCTCATTTTGCTGTTTAGACTTCAGTGTGTCGGCAGTAAATTAAAGCTCAAATCTCAAGTCAGCTGCAAGCAAGCAAAACACAGTTAACATTATCAGTAATTGCTAACACTCGGGTAAGCCAAAAAAAACGTCCCTTTATTTTTTCAGAAATCACTTCCTTGGATTTGTAGATAAAAATAGACTTTACTGTGGACTTGGAATCGGTAACAATATCACTTGTCGCTTACAAGGCAGCGAATTTCCCGATAAAAATGGGTCAAAGAAATACGGCCATGTTGATTAGAAACGTCTACAGCTTAATGGTTTAACAGATATCATAGCTGTAAGACGGGTCCACCAATTTAATATTTAGACTAATTACGTCGGCATTAGTTGCAGTTTTTACGTGCCTATCTTTACATGAACGTGTCGTTCCTATCATTACATGAACGTGTCTTGTGTCGTGCAGTGTTTCTTCCAGACTTTTTTCTCCGGGGGGGAGGGGGGGGGCGGACAATGTTAAAAGTATCCGAAGAGATGCCTGGAAGAAACTCTGGTGTCGTGCCAATCATTACATGAACGTGTCGTGCCAATCATTACATGAACGTGTCGTGCCTTTCATTAGATGAAAGTGTTGTGCTAATCATTACATGAACGTGTCGTGCCTATCATTACATGAACGTGTCGTGCCATTCATTACATGAACGTTTCGTGCCAATCATTACATGAACGTGTCGTGCCAATCATTACATGAACGTGTCGTGCCAATCATTACTTGAACGTGTCGTGCCAATCATTACATGAACGTGTCGTGCCAATCATTACATGAACGTGTCGTGCCAATCATTACATGAACGTTTCGTGCCAATCATTACATGAACGTGTCGTGCCAATCATTACATGAACGTGTCGTGCCAATCATTACATGAACGTTTCGTGCCAATCATTACCTGAACGTGTCGTGCCAATCATTACATGAACGTGTCGTGCCAATCATTACATGAACGTGTGCCAATCATTACATGAACGTGTCGTGCCAATCATTACATGAACGTGTCGTGCCAATCATTACATGAACGTGTCGTACCAATCATTACATGAACGTGTCGTACCTATCATTACATGAACGTGTCGTGCCAATCATTACTTGAACGTGTCGTGCCAATCATTACATGAACGTGTCGTGCCAATCATTACATGAACGTGTCGTGCCAATCATTACATGAACGTTTCGTGCCAATCATTACATAAACGTGTCGTGCCAATCATTACATGAACGTGTCGTGTCAATCATTACATGAACGTGTCGTGCCAATCATAACTTGAACGTGTCGTGCCAATCATTACATGAACGTGTCGTGCCAATCATTACATGAAAGTGTCGTGCCAATCATTACATGAACGTGTCGTACCAATCATTACATGAACGTGTTGTACCTATCATTACATGAACGTGTCGTGCCAATCATTACATGAACGTGTCGTGCCTATCCTTAGATTTACGTGTCGTGCCTATCATTGCATGAACGTGTAGATCGAAGTACCTGCCTGTGATTGACAAAGACAAGTTGTGAAACCCCGATTGCTTTTCTTAAACAGACGGTGGTTTTATAAAAGAAAAACTATTTTTTATAACATAGGTCCCTATTTATAGCCTACATTGTTCCTAACCTTATGCTCCTGAAACTTTAATTAGGCCAAGTCATGTATTTGTGTTCTATCAGTCTGTGTTGTTTATCGGCGAACACCCCGACTATTACATTTTCTACTTTCAATTACAGAAACATCTTGATTGTATCAACTCTATTGGTGGCCGCGATTAAATCCTCAAAATAGAATTAACTGATTTAAATCTTAAGAAGAAAATGCTTTGTACAAAGGCGGTGTGATCTCAACATCAAATCAGGACACGTCTTAATTCGGTGAAATAACATGAGGTGATAACGCTGTCGTTGACATTGAAGTGATAAAGTATTATATAAAACATCTAGGGCATAGGGCAACAGGTGCACGCTTGATTACATGTCCCACGTGCTAGCGGGCAATTTTCAATTAAAAAAAAAAACGTCAAATAATTCATGACTTGCGAATTGTTTTTTTTTTCTATTCCTTTTTCACAATTAAAACGTTTTTTTTTTCTAAAATATCCACCCGACTGGACTGCGATAGGGGGTTGTTCATTACAGTCGCATGTGCAGTAAGGGGGTCGTCTATAAATGATGTCACACTCGAAGGAGGGGGGGGGGGTCCGTAATTTTGTGACAGTGTGATGAGGGGGAGGTTCAAATAGTGTGACGTCACACTTTTGCATTCTAAAAAAGCATATATATATATATATATATATATATATATATATATATATATATATATATATATATATATATATATATACATATACATCTATACTTGGTATTAAAATAGAACTAACGTAAATTAATCATGACGATTTTTTTTTTAATTTCTTACATTTATTCCAAATAATCTAAAAGCAAGCTGTAGTACACACCTATTACTTTCTAATTCTTGATCACGTTTAATACTTATCAAGTTAACATGGGAGACAACCATCACTTATAATAAAAATGTGTCAATGACAATCGTGACATAGTGATATAGACTTGGTTATCAAACGAGCTAGCTGAAGCTGATGTGTAGGCAAAAAATGAGCAGGGGAAAATTACCAGCTTATAACAGTCTATGGACTTTCAACTGTTGCACACTATTACATATCAATTTCGAACATTAAATATTTCTTTACAATTTAATCATGATGTGTGAGTTTTCTATGTAAAGAAAAACAAAAAAAGAGTGAGAACAATAAACCACAATACAACCACAACTTATCTGATGTGTTAACCTCATTTATTTTAAACATTAAGCTAATGAGGGGATGGTGGTGGCACAATAGATGTAATAGAATATAATTTGACACAAACTGACAGTTATGAGGATGTTGGAGATTTATATAAAGATCATAGTTAAATTGACAGAGCATGAAGCATTACAAATGACTTCATGAGTTGTTGGTGATTTCAAATCCATCTCCATTTAGTCATTTACCCTTACATTTTAGAATTAGGTCTAAATGAGTTTACTGGGTGTTCTAACCATGAAGCTCTACTGTTTATAAAGGTGACCAACTATCAAGAAGTAGTCACATTTGTATGCCTAGAAATGTACTATATAAAAATGAAAACACACCTTAGAACAAAACAAAAACATTTTATTTATTTATTTGTCCATAATGGATTTTCTCTATAGCTCAAGTAAAAAAATTTAAATTGATTATTCATGATTATAATATGGTTAATGATAGACGACTAATTAAGAAAATTAAATTTTTAAAATTATGTAAAGTAAAAACAAAGTGCTACAAGAAAAGAATAGGCATCAACTTATGTATGCACCATGCAACGTGTAAATGAGAGTGATATCTCATTAATAATTATTTTGGGAGAAAGGATAAAAGGATAAGAGAAGGCACTGGGCAAGATTTTCCAGGAAGTGGGTTGAGGCTGAATTTGGGTAGAATAATAAGTCTAATTCTCTGAACACATGTAAGGCAAAAGTTAATAAATTATTTGTCAGTAGCCTGATATTTGTTTCTCAAGACGAGCGATTATGAAACAAGAAGTGAAGCATAATTAAACAGCTTTTGTTTTATTTCTAACAATATTTAATAGTCTTTGGTCTCAGTTAAGTTTTTATTCAACAGAGATGTAAAATGAAATGGATGGTTAACAAGAGAATTGAAGAAGAGATCATCTGTTTTAGTGGCTCTGTCATACTTACAAAGAGATAGAGTGTTAGATTAACATAGTTGATACTACTTTAATAGAGTTAAGTAAAGTTATTATTAGTCATTAGGCCTATCAAATACTATAAATGATATTAGGTCTACAAAGACTTTATATTATATATGAATATTATACTATAGACTATAGATATATGTATGTATCCTTTTTTTGCAGGTGCTGTTAATGAACAAGTATTGTCAAGTACAGAACAAGTTAGGTACCAAAGAGAGTTGGTTGGACTCACTAATTTCATATAAACTTAATAAATCTTTAAGTATTAACTAAGTAATAATAAGTCTAGAATTCTAGATCTAAAGATGTCTATAATAGATCTAGATGTAGATCTAGTAACTAGAGAATAGATCTTCTAGATCAGTGTTTCTTCCAGACTTTTTTCTCCGGAGGGGGGGGGGGGGGGAGACGCTGTTAAAAGTATACATTCACTATATCAATTCCATTTCGTTTGGAGGGAGGGGGGGCAGTACACTTTCTTCAGGGGATGGGGGCATTGTTTCTTCCAGACTTTTTTCTCTGGGGGGGCACTTGAAATTTTCGGGGGGGGGGGGCGGTAGACTTTCTTCGCGGGTGGGGGGGGGGCAGACACTGTTAAAAGTATATATTTTCTATATAAATTATATAAATTATATAAATTTTGTTTCGTTCGGGGGGGGGGGGGGGGGCGGGTAAAAATTTTTCCCCGAAGAGATGCCTGGAAGAAACTCTGGATGGGGGTCAGCTTCTAGAATCTAGACTCTACTTCTACCTACTCTATAACTCTAATCTGTCTATCTATCTAGATTATAGATCTAGAATAATCTAGATTATCTAGATTCGTTACATAGGTCTAGATCTAGAATCTAGTAGTAGATCTAGATTCTAGTAAGAGTAGTAGATCTAGATATCTAGACTTAGACTAGACCTCTAGCTACACATAGTCACTAGGTCTAGCTAGAATCTAGCAGCCTAGCTGGATCTATCTAGAATCTAGATCTAGAGATCTAGACGTCTAGATTAGAATCTCAATCTAGATTCTAGATCTAGATGTCTAGATCTAATCTAGATCTAGATTCAAATCTAGATCTAGTCTAGGTCTAGATCTAGATTTAGAATCTAGAATCTAAGTATTTTTTTTTAAATAAATAGGGCTAAGCCAAGCTCTATTAATTAAACAAGTAGATCTACAAGACAAGACTGTACGAAAGTAGTGAAGTACAAATGTCAAAAATACCACTTCCATCACACTAGATTTAGACACTCACACTATCCCGGTCAACTGTTTGTTACTAGAATTTAGAATAGAGACCAGGTCTAGATCTAGAAATCTATCCACTGATCGAGCCTAGGGTAACTATTAGGCCTAGATCTAACTAACTAGAATTAAGAGATCATGAACTTGAATCTAGGTCACTTCTACAAACATCTGTGTTTAGTGTTTAGGAAACAAGCAGACGAAGCAAAGTAAAGGAAGGCCACTCTCTTTTTCATCTTAATTTAGTATCTTTGTACTGCCCTCCCTTGTATTCTTTTAAATAAAAAATAGGACCTAAATAAAAAGATTATTATACTAGATCTAGCTGTCGGAGCAAAGGCAAAAAAAAAAAGTTGTTTTTAGCGCAATTTCCATTCTGGAGAATTGCGTTTATTAACTCGTCATTTCTGGATGTATGAATGAATGAATGAATGAATGGATGGATGGATGGATGGATGGATGGATGGATGTGTGTCCGCAGCTTTAAGTCGTATCTCCTCCTCAACGAAGCAATATCGAGGACTAGTTCCAAAGCAATTATGTTAAGCAAGTTACGAGGAAGAACATAGGCCAAAAAAATTCCGGGTTTCTTTCATGGACTTCCCGGAAAAGCCAAAAAACCTCGAAAAAATGCAGTTTTTGGCCCATATCTCGGCAACCAGACCACTTAGCGACTTGAAACATGTACCAATCGATTCCTGCCATAATTTAGACCAATTTTGCCGAAGAAAGTTTTCAAAAATATCCTTTCGTTCGGTCACAAAAAGTTTTTTGAATTGATTAAAATTTGGACCGAATTAGTAGGCATTTTTATCCAACCACACCACACGCGTCATCACGTTCAATAGCTGCGCCATCACGTTCAATGGCTGCGACAGGACATCACGTTCGGTAGCTAGGCGCGCAATGGTTTTTAGTCATGTAACTCTATTGTAAATAAAACATGTAAAATGCTGAAAATTTTTTAAATAAAAAACGTTTTAATAACTAACTAATGGTTTTACTAACCCTGCTCTTGATTTACGCTACGACAGAGCTATTTTTAGATAACAAAAGGAAATTGCGCTTAAATGTCACTAGACTTTTTAATTAACTTGTTTTTGAATGTTTTGTAAGATTCCCCTGTTGTCTATGTCAAGTTCTAATGATAAAGTTTCATGGAAACAATATGGAATGAAAACCCGAGCAAATATTTCATCCAACTGAGCACATTGATTCAATTGTTCTATTGAAAACCCGTTTATTTTTCATAGATCTAGATCTAGTAGCTTATTTAAATATTTATGTTGAGTTTCATACAGACATATGACGAGCTAAGCCAATCATTACATAAGCCACCATGTCCACCCCAACCGTTTTTCGCTTACCGACGAAATTATCCAAGTTGTTACCATGTCAATACTTTATTTTATATTTTTTAAAATGTCGATCTCATTATGCAATAAAGGCCGCATATGTGGTCGAAACAATAATTAACTAATAATTGAATAAACACATGTAGAAAAGCTCTGATATTCAAGCTTAATGCATATAAATCATAAACATTAGTACACCGTCTAAAGATATCCTGGGACGTTGAATAGCATTTATTTATTGTCTGACAAGCATAATTTTAAACATGCAATATTGCAAAGCATGCCATTTTACTCTCCACACATCAACCAAATTCTTGTCCATAAATAATTTGAAAGAGGTTGCATGTATATTCTTTTCAAAACTGGATAAGTGACGCTATTCCTTCTTTTTATGACCCCCCCCCCCCCCCACCCAACTCACACTCGCAACTCGAGGTAAGATCAGAGTTTCTTCCAGGCAACTCTTCTGGGAGGGGGGGGGGCTCTGCCTCCCAGAAGAAAGTCTACACCCCTCCCCCGAGAGAAATGGAATTTATATAGAAAATCGCCCCCCCCCCCCAAAAAAAAAAATTCAAGTGCCCCCCCCCCCCCCCCCGGAGAAAAAAGTCTGGAAGAAACACTGGGTAAAATTAAAACAATAGTAAGTATCATGTATTTATGTTGTAAACATCGCACTCCGCAGCTAGTAATTATATGCTACTGAAATCTGCCAAGCACCGAAGCTAACAAGCATGGTATTCTACAGAATGGGAGTGTACAATGGGGTTATGTTATGCTTTAATCCCTCCCCCATTCCCCGCTGTCTCTGTATTAGCATTATGTTCTTGCCGCCTTCCATAAACGTATTTAAAGGATATTTCAAAATCCGTTAGACGTTAGTGACCTACAATAATGTTCTTTCTTCAATGCCTATCATCAATGGATTAAAGTTACACAAGCAGTGGCGGAACTAGAAAAAATGGGCCACCCCGCAAAAAAATTTTTGGGCCCCCCCCATATATATATATATATATATATATATATATATATATATATATATATATATATATATAGATAGATAGATAGATAGATAGATAGATAGATAGATAGATAGATAGATAGATAGATAGATAGATAGATAGATAGATAGATAGATAGATAGATAGATAGATAGATAGATAGATAGATAGATAGATAGATAGATAGATAGATAGATAGATAGATAGATAGATATAGATATAGATATAGATATAGATATAGATATAGATATAGATATAGATATAGATATAGATATATAGATATATAGATATATAGATATATAGATATATAGATATATAGATATATATATATCTGAGAAAGTAACTTAAAAGGGACAACAAAGCACCGATGTGGTTTTATCCATCAGTACCAAACAGAGTTTCTTCCAGGAATCTCTTCGGGGGGGGGGGGGGGGGGGGGGACAACCCCCCCCCACCCCCGAAGAAAGTCTACCGCCGCCCCCACACCCCCACACCCCCGAAAATTTCAAGTACCCCCCCCCCCCCCCCCGGAGAAAAAAGTCTGGAAGAAACACTGGTACCAAATTTGGGATGGTCTCAAAATGCCGTCTTAATATCTAGCGGCCTCTCGCGCAATTGATGTTTTTTCAAAAGAATTTTGCCGACAACAGCGTGTGTTTGTAGGAAAAAGAATATACAAGAGCGTGGGATGGTGTCTATAGAATAAAGATACTCCAACCACAGCTACGGTATTCTTTTTTCAAAACAACCATCAGGTCAAAAATGCAAGAAAATTCAATTACATTTTAACTATAAAAAAATATTTTATGGGCGGCGGTGGGCCCCCTAAACGGCGTGCCCCCCCCCCCCCGCATTGCGGGGTCTGGCGGCACTGTAGTTCCGCCCCTGTACACAAGGCATATCTTAGCATACCAAATTTAATCTTGTCAGATATAACACAGCATTCTATTTACTTTTCTCTGTTTTAGACCGGGTTTGGTAATTAGCATGCAGAAATAGGTAATTCATCATTGCCTTCATTGGAATAGAACTATTTTTATTGGAAATATGTTGAAAAACATTCAGATTTAAATGATTCAACAACATTTGAATGAAATTTCTACACCGTAAATGATAAGAGAGGTATAAAAAATGGAGGGCGTCGGTACGGTTAGATTAGTTGTTGACTCATTATTTCATTGGTTTTCATTCAGACCAATTTGTTTTTATAGAATGAAATGTAATACTTTTTTAGTACATTTTATTATATAAGCTGTCTAAAGTAAGAATCTTTAGGCCTTTAAGTACGCTGAATATGCCTAAGCACAATTAGACTAATACAAGTTGTAAGTATCAGTTAAAGAGCTTGCAACATTACCAGCATGACTGATACAAGTAGAACTAAACTATCGGTACGCGCTGTTGACGTGTGATAAGATTGATTTCCCTGACCTTGCTGTTATGATTTTTTTCATATCGATTATATCAAAGTTAATGAAACTCTCTGGCACTGAAGTAAGCAGAGATTGCGTGTCTTTGAATTATTCATTGCGTTGTTTCCATTGAGACTATTTTTTTCAATTGTGCTGGCTTCTTGGTGACTATTGTTTCTGTTGGGTCGAGGCTGTTCGACAGCTTCGGCTAGAAGCCCCATAGTTACATCATAGCTTTTTCATAGACCACTTGAAGTGGCAGCAGTGAACTAGTGCCCATTGGGTGGCAGCAGTGAACTAGTGCCCATTGGGTGGCAGCAGTGAACTAGTGCCCATTGGGTGGCAGCAGTGCCAATTGGGTGGCAGCAGTGAACTAGTGCCCATTGGGTGGCAGCAGTGAACTAGTGCCCATTGGGTGGCAGCAGTGAACTAGTGCCCATTGGGTGGCAGCAGTGCCAATTGGGTGGCAGCAGTGAACTAGTGCCCATTGGGTGGCAGCAGTGAACTAGTGCCCATTGGGTGGCAGCAGTGAACTAGTGCCCATTGGGTGGCAGCAGTGAACTAGTGCCCATTGGGTGGCAGCAGTGCCCATTGGGTGGCAGCAGTGCCCATTGGGTGGCAGCAGTGCCCATTGGGTGGCAGCAGTGCCCATTGGGTGGCAGCAGTGCCCATTGGGTGGCAGCAGTGAACTAGTGCCCATTGGGTGGCAGCAGTGAACTAGTGCCCATTGGGTGGCAGCAGTGCCCATTGGGTGGCAGCAGTGCCCATTGGGTGGCAGCAGTGAACTAGTGCCCATTGGGTGGCAGCAGTGAACTAGTGCCCATTGGGTGGCAGCAGTGCCCATTGGGTGGTAGCAGCGAACTAGTGCCCATTGGGTGGCAGCAGTGAACTAGTGCCCATTGGGTGGCAGCAGTGAACTAGTGCCCATTGGGTGGCAGCAGTGAACTAGTGCCCATTGGGTGGCGGCAGTGCCCATTGGATGGCAGCAGTGCCCATTGGGTGGCAGCAGTGAACTAGTGCCCATTGGGTGGCAGCAGTGAACTAGTGCCCATTGGGTGGCAGCAGTGAACTAGTGCCCATTGGGTGGTAGCAGCGAACTAGTGCCCATTGGGTGGCAGCAGTGAACTAGTGCCCATTGGGTGGCAGCAGTGAACTAGTGCCCATTGGGTGGTAGCAGCGAACTAGTGCCCATTGGGTGGCAGCAGTGAACTAGTGCCCATTGGGTGGCAGCAGTGAACTAGTGCCCATTGGGTGGTAGCAGCGAACTAGTGCCCATTGGGTGGCAGCAGTGCCCATTGGGTGGCAGCAGTGAACTAGTGCCCATTGGGTGGCAGCAGTGAACTAGTGCCCATTGGGTGGCAGCAGTGCCCATTGGGTGGCAGCAGTGAACTAGTGCCCATTGGGTGGCAGCAGTGCCCATTGGGTGGCAGCAGCGAACTAGTGCCCATTGGGTGGCAGCAGTGAACTAGTGCCCATTGGGTGGCAGCAGTGCCCATTGGGTGGCAGCAGTGAACTAGTGCCCATTGGGTGGCAGCAGTGAACTAGTGCCCATTGGGTGGCAGCAGTGCCCATTGGGTGGCCGCAGTGCCCATTGGGTGGCAGCAGTGCCCATTGGGTGGCAGCAGTGCCCATTGGGTGGCAGCAGTGAACTAGTGCCCATTGGGTGGCAGCAGTGAACTAGTGCCCATTGGGTGGCAGCAGTGAACTAGTGCCCATTGGGTGGCAGCAGTGAACTAGTGCCCATTGGGTGGCAGCAGTGAACTAGTGCCCATTGGGTGGCAGCAGTGCCCATTGGGTGGCAGCAGTGAACTAGTGCCCATTGGGTGGCAGCAGTGAACTAGTGCCCATTGGGTGGCAGCAGTGAACTAGTGCCCATTGGGTGGCAGCAGTGAACTAGTGCCCATTGGGTGGCAGCAGTGAACTAGTGCCCATTGGGTGGCAGCAGTGAACTAGTGCCCATTGGGTGGCAGCAGTGAACTAGTGCCCATTGGGTGGCAGCAGTGCCCATTGGGTGGTAGCAGTGAACTAATGCCCATTGGGTGGCAGCAGTGAACTAGTGCCCATTGGGTGGCAGCAGTGCCCATTGGGTGGTAGCAGTGAACTAATGCCCATTGGGTGGCAGCAATGAACTAGTGCCCATTGGGTTACAGCAGTGCCAATTGGGTGGCAGCAGTGAACTAGTGCCCATTGGGTGGCAGCAGTGAACTAGTGCCCATTGGGTGGCAGCAGTGCCCATTGGGTGGCAGCAGTGCCCATTGGGTGGCAGCAGTGAACTAGTGCCCATTGGGTGGCAGCAGTGAACTAGTGCCCATTGGGTGGCAGCAGTGCCCATTGGGTGGCACCATGCCCATTGGGTGGGAGCAGTGAACTAGTTTTTCACTATATGACAGTGGAACCTACAAGACAGTGCCCTTTAAACCTATAGCCATTTGCCAACACATAAAATATCATTGAAATACCGCATAAATCACGAAGTGTTACCCATATTTAAATGTGCTCTGGGGTGATGGTAAAAATGAGAAACTAAACGAAAAGAAAATAAAACCATTTAACAGCCACTGGTTATTGAGTTTTAACTCCCCATTATTTTATGCACGGGAACTTTCTCAAGTGTTGAACTACTCGATTTACATTCATTAAATTATAAATGCTTGAGCAATAGCTACACATTTTATACATAAGATAAGGCGTTGGAGATAGTAAAAGTGCTTTGAATGTCTATTCAGGCTACTTTAAATAAGCGTCAGATACTTTTAGACATTATATATATATATATATATATATATATATATATATATATATATATATATATATATATATATATATATATATATATAACATTGTGTTTGTGTATATATTCTAGATATGTGTGTTGTGTGTATGTGTGATTAGCTTAATGTTTACTTGCTATTAAGGGAGATAACTTTGTAAAAGAAAGGGAAAGCATTCATGGTGTACACATACAAAGGTAAGAAACGATTAGTGGGGCCCCATTCCAGTCCGTCTGTGTCCTTTGCCAAGTGGCACTTGTGTTGACAAGGTTTAGGCTTTGTTTGTTGACAAGGACCTGGCCGCAGCGAGGAAAGTGGGGGTTAGAGATCGATATAAGAACACGAGGGAGAAAATTCCTTTCGTTTTATTCTGGAATGCCAGTGCTAAACAGGACAGGTCATTTTGATTTAAATTCTGATACATAAAAACGCTAACGCAGTGTTTTTATTAAAGCTTTGGCAGGTATGTCACAATACTTTTAAGGGTATTTTTGTTCTGCTTTTTATCTATTTCAAGTTTAAAAACAAATTCTTCTGCGATTAATTAAGAGCAAATAATTGTATAGCTTTACATGGAATGTATTGTCGCACATAGCTTGATATCTGATTGTCTGGTCTGTTTTTACTTTTTTTCTGCTTTGTTTAACTTTATTTTGTCTGCATGCAGATGCAGTAAAAGCATCACATGACAAAAGTATTTGAATGTTTATGGTTCGTCTATTAATATTTTACACTACAATATAATGACTAGCACGCACCACTCAATTCATCGCTTGTTGATTTCTTTAAAGGAAAAAGTTAAGATTTTTAGAGAAACCAGGACATCACCAGTTCTGCCTCTATGTAAATGGGACTACATAACACTTGGACAGATCTAGATCTAGGCTTGGAGACAAGTTGTTGATATTTTTAGAGCTCCGTTAAAAAGTTGGCTTTTCTGCCGACTTAATTAATTATAATTCGTTGTTGATTGATTTTGACATTCTGTGACTCCAAACATTTGTCCATACTTTTGCGTTTCATAGGCAACCAGGAGCAGTATTTTAAAATATTAAACACAGTTAATAAGGCAGCAATTATGTAGCAACGAATTTATCCAGTTTAAAAACTTGCATTGGCAGGCCTTGTTAGTCTGTTGTACAACATACTTATGTAGGAAGTGACAATAAAACACTCATCTGTATTACTGTACGGCCTACCATTATTTGTGTCAGTCACTTTAAACTACATGTGGGGGGGGGGGGGGGCTTGAATAATCTCCGGGACAATAATTGATTGTATACAGTTTGAAACAAGTTTAATGTTTAACCCTTGGTAACGTATCTTTATTGGTTTTGTTTATTAATGTCTATAAATAAAACGCAAATCTTGTTATTAACGGGGACACCAATACGCATATCTTTATATGAACTGTACACCATAATCAGTTTATCTGTGTATATCAACTCAGAGCTTTATTATAAGCCTTTCTCTCTATCAGCTCATAAGCTCTGCTCCCTGTCGACTAGCTAAATAAAGCTTACATCGTCACCAAACACGATAAGGCTCTACTAATCGTGCCCCCCCCCCCCCCCCCAACACACACCCTGCTACTTTTCCCGTAGTGCTGCGCACTCTCTGACATACAGAAACAGTACGGTATTAAAACTTGTGCAACATTTCTTGCGAAAAGATTTCTTTACCTTCCACTATCACCGTAGTATTGCCCTTTTGTCTGGGAACCGATCAAAGTACTATTACCTTTCACTGCGTCAGGATAATGCCATTGATAAGGGATCACCCGTTGGTGCGTGCTATATCGGGGAAAGTCATATAGGTAAAACATTAAGGGCTGTAGTTTTGTAACAGATTTTTAGAAAGGTTTCCGATTGTAGGGTGTGTGTTTAGGGACATTTTATCGGGAGTGAAAGCGGATTTAGGTCTATATAGCGATATGGATACTCTGCTATTCGGCAGTTAACTGTCTAAAGATTTTTAAATATTTTGCTTCTTTAAAACAAATTTCTTTTGACGCCCCTGTTTAATCTAGTTTGGAAAAGTAGGCTGCAATAGGGGATGTAGAGTTGTTAGAGAATCTGATGCGAGTGTTAGTAAAGTGCAGCATTTAAAAAAACACATGACAATATGTTTAAAATTAAAACAATTTTTATTTTAATTTTGTTTCCATTAAAATGTTATTTTTTCATGCATATAACTTTTTTCATAACAGAAAATAAAAGATTTTCGTCAGGCAACAATGCTGGGATTAAAGTGGTGAAAACTGCTGGGTCATTGACAGGCTAAACGTGGCAGGTCATTGACAGATAGACGTGTCTGGGTCATTGACAGGCTAAACGTGGCTGGGTCATTTACAGGCTAAACTTGTCTGGTCATTGACAGGCTAAACATCATTGACAGAGATAGAGAGAGAGCGAGATATTCGAGATGAGTTTGTTTCACATAAAATACCCCGCTAATACAGGCTTTCTCACTTGGGACGATTTAGGGTAAGTTTTTTTTTAAGAAAGTTTTTTTTTTAATGACAAGTAGCAATGTTTTAGCTTGCGTGGTCGGCTATTTGGTTAAAAAAAAAGTTTCACGTATTAACTTAAACAAACATTCTGAAAAATCCTACACTTAAAATCAATCTGACATAAGTTGAATTAATCTCGGAGAAAAATCAGGGCAAACGTGTACCTACAGAATTATTGGAAACTAGGCATGCTGCCCAGCTTCGCTTAGGCTTTCGAAAACATTGAGAATTTGAATGCTTAATTAATTCGCCCATATAAGGCGCCGGTCAGTCGAGGTCAGTTTTGACCCCCTCATCGTAGACTTTTCGGCCAACCGACCCCCGTTTTATGTCGCCAAAAGGCAAGATCCTGCCAAATTTGAAGCGCCTGCGGCGCCGGGAAGTGCCCTATCGGGCACCCGACAACTTAGCTTTATAGATAAATCTAGATCTAGATCTAGAATCTCTAGATCTATATGATCTAGAATCTCTAGATCTAGATGATCTAGAATATCTAGATCTAATTCAATATCTAGATCTAGAATCTGTAGATCTAGAATCCAAATAGATAAAATATTTTTTTTTAAATTTAGGCCGAGAAAATCGTATTGTATACATTTCATAGCGTATATAGCTCTAAATCATTTTGAATGAAATAGTTCATTTCTTTTTATTCTAAACTCGGAAGATGACGTCATCAGTTTCGTGCTCCTTTTTTAGTGTAAACAATAAGTGACGTCATTGTTAAATCCGTTCTTGTCCTAAGTTTAAACACTTTTCCGGTTGCATAAAAAATACTGTTTCTCTACATTCTTATACGCCTTTATTTTTTTTTCTTCTTTTAATAAAATTGTGGTTATACATTTAAAACATCTAACATATTATTTTCAACAAAAGTCCGTATAAAGGTATCCATATATCGCTGCCGATTCTGACGTGATGTCCGGCGAAAATATTTTGCGGACAGAGAGAGAGAGAGAAGAGCGCACATGGCCTTTTATATATTAGGATGAAGAAAATGTAGCCTAAATGTATACTGTAAATCTGGAAGACTGCAGGGAAATAACTCACAACAGTTTATTAATTTTATTATTTCAAACTTTAGTTTGTGATTTGGTTATGTCAACTGTTCTGCTTTCGTTTTTGTAGAATTATTATTTAAAATTATAATAAATACCTTAAACATGCGTGTTTATGTTTCATTTCAGATGTTTGAGTAGAGCTTTAGGGGTAAGCATTACACAGTAACATACACACACATGTATATGTATAGATTAGGTTTTGTTTTATTAACCATTATTACCGAATACCAGTGGATTCACAGTGTTGAAAATTAATGAATACTAGTTGAATATAAAACTACTGGCTATTAATAATTATATAAACGTATTTTCTTATTTCTGATTAAAAGGTTATGTGTATGAAATAGTGACCATTTAAAATTTCTTGTTTAAGTTGTGATTAACCAGTTTTGTTTCATTTTATTCATACTTTGCTGAGTCAAATGGACACCAGCGAGTTGACGAGATTCCTTCCAAAATGTTGTTAACATGGAATAAAAACGTGCTTTTTAGATTTAGACCGTAAAAAAAAAAAAAAAAAAAAAAAAAACTTGAGCCTAAAATTAATTTAGAAAATTTATATTTTTAGAATAAATGCTATAAAAGTTGCAAATCCAGAGAAGTTGAAAATAATTTGTTGAGTTTAAGGCTACATTTCTATTTATTTTCATCAAGCCTAAGTTATAACCGGATGTTTCACTTTCGTAAGACAAATATTGATTGGCTGTACAGTAACTTAGTGATCGATAACTATTTGTTTACAAAACTTTGCAGATCAAGTTTTTAAATAACAATGCAAATTTAAAACCCCATGACCTAGTTTTCTATTTTTAGCTTACAATGTGTACAATAAAATTTATGGCGGCCTATCCAATAGCAGGATGCCATTGTTTATGTCGCCATTACACGTGAAAACCAAATTGTTTTTGCTTTTTTTTTAATTTTTATTTAGTTACCGAAAATATTAAAAACATCAAATACATGCAATCTTTAGTAAAGCCCGAAAAAAACCAGACAGGCAGGATTTTATAACCATATTAATTGTAACTACGCTGTGCATGATTTTTAAATTAATTTATGGACCTCTCAAATACCTTTGAGACTTTTCTCGCTGGTGTCCATTGAACCTTATTCATATTTCCTACTTAAGTGATAGTATAAAAAATAATAAACTATTTTAAATAATAGCAAACAAAAAAAGTTGAATATAAAACTACTACCACTATTTGAACAAGGATTTTTGTGTAATTTCTCTTTTCAAGTTCCCCTCTGATTTGTTCAAGACAAATTATCCAGCTGACAGCTATGAATTTAAATACGATGAAAGAGGAATCGGAAGAAAGGTGGGGTTTTGATTATTGGTGCTTTTGATAAAAGTTTCAAAATGCTTCTCTCATATTACATTGCTCGTGACATTTCTAACCGATGTGAATAAAAACTGTTTGTGACATATCTTATCGAAGTGAACAAAAGCAAATTTTTAATTATTGTATTTTGGGAGTTGTTTGAACAAAGCTTATAAATATTTTTGACTATCAATCCAAATATTGGCAAGATGTTTTCAAAGCACTGCCGTAATCCTAACTCTGTCGTAACCTTCACCCTGATGCTAACGCTCTAATATTTACCAGAGCCCTAACCATAGTCACAAACTTAGCTCTCATCATTAACTTAATAATAACCTTAACATCAACCCAATAGTAAAAAGGCGGGAAAATATCTCAACGATATTGTGATGTCTCATCGATGTTATCTTTAAAAGAAACTTAGCAATCAAATAAAGGGAATACGATTTTTTTAAAAGGGGTAATACTTAGTTGATCAGATATTTAAAAACAAAAGATTTTAAAATTGCTAACTGCTATTTAAAATCCGTTCCAGACAATGTTACGCTTACTTGACGAGTGCTACTTATACACCGCTCTCCACCGCTCTTACAACATGCACACAGCCGAGTGGAATGCACGTGTGTTTGTTGGTGCCATCGAAATGCTTGAGCACAAAGTCTTAGAGTAAGTCACGTGACGTACACAAAATTACCTCAATATATGGGCCTAAACAAAATGAAAACTTTTGTTAAGCCTATTCGACTTTAGTATAATTTAGTGCATTTTATTTTATTTTCAGTTTTGAGGGTCTCTATAAAGTAAGGATTGCATACGCTACTTACGAGCACGGTGATATGAAGGGCATGTTGGTTAACAAACACGTTCTACTGAGGACTCTGAAGGTAATTTTTACCTCCACCCTCTTGAGACGTCGGAGTGAACTCGTGACTTTCTGGGGTAGCGAGCGAGACATAGCCGTCATAATTAACGGGGGATGACGGCGATGACGGGCAATAACTCTTTAAATTATAAAAAGAAAAGTTGTTTTAGTTACTCTGCTGTTGTATTGCGTTAAGGGAATGGGAACTATCAAGAAAGCTTAGTCCATAGACCTTAACAGAATACAGAAACTTTTTCTGATAGAATCTACAATTTGCAACAACTCTTTGCAACATTAAAGAAAAACTATGATCATAGTCATAGTGGTAGAGCGCTAGAATGCTAACCCGAAACTCTTGAGTTCGAATCCGGGTTTAAGTCAGTGGAACATCCCTGAGTTCACCCAGCGCTGATGGGTACCTAACTCACGTTAGGGAAAGTAAAGACGGCTGGGCATAGTGATGACCTCATTATCCCTTCATATTCCAAGGGCAAGAAACATATTAACTCTACTTCATCTGCCCAATCAATAGCTAAGTCTAAAGATGAATCTTTACTTAACTTTTTATAATCATAAACACTGTTTACTAATTTCAAATCGTGTTGCATGAAGACGCTTGCATGCTATACAGTCTGACATAATTTACAGTTGTGTAAATTTCGCTAATTTTAAAATGTGATATGACGTCCACAGATGTGTGGTAGGACGATAGCACCGCTGAAACTTGCACATAGGATGAAACATATGAGGAGTCAGTTCGATGAAAGGGGGAGAATCCAGTTATATGAACTCTTCAGGCTGCTATTGTGGTAACTTGAGCATTTGATTCACTTGATTGTTTCCCTTATTACTCTCGTCAGTCCCATACAAATGACAAGGATAGATGGGTATAGAACAGGGGTCGCCAACCTGCGGCTCGCGAGCCGCATGCGGCTCTTTTGATATCAAGATGCGGCTCTCCAGCTCCTTGCACAAATACTAATAATCTTAATAAAAATAAAATATTTGAAATAAAAAAATGTTAGTGGCTCTTTAAAACCAGGGAAATTTTGAAAATTGTAACTTTTGGCTCTTCCGCTTCAAAAGGTTGCCGACCTCCGGTATAGAAGGAAACTAATCAAACCGTAGCTGGTGGGCTGGGTTACATTTAATACGTTAGTGATTGGCCATTTGTAAAAATAAAATACGAAATATTTCTCTGAGTTATACACACTGATAAGGTTAGGTAAGAAGTGTAAAACTGAAGATTTTACTAACTTGCTAAATACATCACAGGCGCTAACCATGTGAATGAAGTTTATGTTGAACACATTTACATCTATAACATATCCCAGCACACCGATATACAGCCAAAATAACTGTGCTAGAATGCCATCACATAGACCAAAAATTCTCAAAACATTGAAATGTAAAATTAACGCCTTAATGTCCAGATAAAACTTGGGTCTATCAAACAGGTGTGACGTGTACACAGCTTCACACATTGAAATGTAAAATTAACGCCTTAATGTCCAGATAAAACTTGGGTCTACCAAACAGGTGTGACGTGTACACAGCTTCACACATTGAAATGTAAAATTAACGCCTTAATGTCCAGATAAAACTTGGGTCTACCAAACAGGTGTGACGTGTACACAGCTTCACACATTGAAATGTAAAATTAACGCCTTAATGTCCAGATAAAACTTGGGTCTACCAAACAGGTGTGACGTGTACACAGCTTCACACATTGAAATGTAAAATTAACGCCTTAATGTCCAGATAAAACTTGGGTCTACCAAACAGGTGTGACGTGTACACAGCTTCACACATTGAAATGTAAAATTAACGCCTTAATGTCCAGATAAAACTTGGGTCTACCAAACAGGTGTGACGTGTACACAGCTTCACACATTGAAATGTAAAATTAACGCCTTAATGTCCAGATAAAACTTGGGTCTATCAAACAGGTGTGACGTGTACACAGCTTCACACATTGAAATGTAAAATTAACGCCTTAATGTCCAGATAAAACTTGGGTCTACCAAACAGGTGTGACGTGTACACAGCTTCACACATTGAAATGTAAAATTAACGCCTTAATGTCCAGATAAAACTTGGGTCTATCAAACAGGTGTGACGTGTACACAGCTTACTGCCCACTGGACCAAGAAACGGCCTCGGGAAAGGATGACTATTTGTTTAAGGTAAGGTTACAATTCACTTAGTTGTTTGATTTTTTTTAGTTTTTTTAATTTATTACCATGAACATTTTTGTTTATTTTTCCCTCGCCATATTTATCCTCTTATTCTATTTCTTACATTATGTTGTTTGTTGTTTTTTTTATTACAAAATGTGTGTATGATTTGTTGACATATATCAGACAATGAAAAAATGTTGTATATTGCTACAACTATATGTTCTTCTTGCATACATCTCAACCATACCACTAGCAAGAGTTAATAGATTACTAGATGCAATTTCAGCTCAGTAAACAAAACGGTCATGCCGAATTATCCAATAAAAATAAAGATTTAGTTTAAACTCACAGCGATCGATTTTTTAATAACTCGTCCGTTTTAATTGAGCGTAACTAAGCCTTGTTTTCCCGTTGTCAAGCTGTGTTTTGTCAGATTAGGTAGTTTCCCTTGGTTAATCAGACTCCATTATCATCTAACGTTGTCTCATCGTAAACAGAGATGATAAATATATCCCAGAAACATGTTAACATTTCTTCTTATACGGCAAGTATAGTGCTAATACAAAGGAGTGGACACAACCACAATTATCCATCCCTTGCAGCACGGGTATTTATTTTTTTTAAACAGAGCTAAATGAATAGAGGAGGTATGTGGATATATATTACCAAAAAGTATGAATCGACTGAAATGGTATCATTGTGATATAATGTATACTCCCTATCTATCATGAAAAAGTTTTACATTTATTTTTAAATTGTCTATATATGATATTTGCTACAACATTATGTCAACTATTTGTGAACTGTTTCAACTGTTGCTATGGTTGTTGATTATGCATTGCCATGGATACTCTTTATTTTTCCTGTGTCATTAGCTAGTTGACCCTCGGCGACTATTCTCACACCACGACCAACGACTGGCCAATCAGCTGAACGAAAAATACTTTCAAGAAGAGCTGGACTATGGGAAGGTGAAGCTGGGCAGCAGGCAGACGTTCAGCGAACCCATCGTGAAGATTGAGATCCGAGAACAACAGGTTGGTTGTAGGAAGCTTCACAGTCACACTCGATGCCAAAGTAGTGTTTTGTTGTTGATTTAAGGGCTCATCCATTTATGACGGGGGGGGGGGGGTCCTACTTTTGTGGACACGGGTCAACTCTACGAGGGGTTAAGGGGCTGCCGGTCATGTCGGTACACAAATCAATATATAGATAAAGTAATTATAAACGTAAACTTTACTTTTCAGACATACACACAAATGAAGGATTAGGAGTATTGGGGGGGGGGGGTTGCTCAAAGTAAACATTGTGTAAATTTGGATGGATGGTATAAAAATTGATCCTTTTTCTTCTTAAGGTTGTCATAAATGGATAACCCCCCCCCCCTCCCACACACACGAAACCCATCAGACAAAACTACATTTTAGACTTCAGCTTTTCATATACTAATAAAGATAATTGTTGTTTTGTTGTTTGTTTTTTTACTTAAAATATATAAATGATTAAAAATCAGCCTTATACTTCATTTGATAAATTTTTCAACCAAGGGAAATAATATTTTAATTTTTAAAATCTACCCAGTCTGTGGTATCCAAACAAAACTACCACCAACTCAAAAATGAAATCAACCAATCAGAAAAGCGTGTGCATCAAGCATCAGTCGGTGGGGTCAGGGCTCGACCAATCAGCGCGCCCAATCTAGAAAATCTGAAAACAAAGAGTGAGAACACAAACCAGAACAATGTCGCTCTTCGTGCTTATGAGAAAGTTAAACAACGTCTTCATTCTGCTCCATCTAGAGGTATGTAATATTAGAATTTGAGACAAGATGGAAACACCCATAGCCAGGATTTTAGACAAAGTGTGAACAACTATAGAAATATTTTGTTGACAACTTTGAGAAAGACAATGTCAGGATTTCAGGATTTCGGAATATCTTTGAATACAACCAATTACACTTTTGTTATCAAAACTGTGAATTTTTTTTTAGAAATGTTACAAATAAATCCTCATATGAAATAAGCCACGTTTTAATTTAGAAGAAGTAAATTAAAACAAATACACAGACCTCGCGTAATTGTCCGCTTCTGATACTGGAATTTCATTCTATTTAGACATACGTGTAACTTATATGATGGTGCCTCTGGTATGGTAATTAGTTACCTGCCGTTTTAAATACCTGCTTGTTTAGGGTGTACAAAGCTTTTACTAGAATAATCTCAGATATTTCGGGTATTATAATATAAAATAATGCTAGTAACATGCGCATTCATAAGGCATACTTATTTCTATTTTTAAAATAACTTTTAAACTCTGCGATCCCTGCTATCGATTTGAATTTAAATTATGTTTGACTAAAAAATTTTGTCTTGATAGAACAAAACAACTTTTCGGATCGCCCAAATTTTGTCAGACATAAAAGGGCCTTCACACCCCGTGTGGTCACCCCTGCAGATATAGAAGAGCTGCAAACAAAAATAGAAGAGCTCAACTTTGATATAACAACTTTGGTAAGTTTTGACATATCGCACCATTGGTCGTTGGGGATAGTTGGGTAGGAAGTAGGTCAGCTGTAGTGCCCGCTGTGGCGATTGAGTACAATTTTGATGTTTGATTCCTACAGGACTGCAGGTGTACGCTACAAGTTGAGGAAGAGATGGACTTTTATTTACCTGGGTACAAGAACAAACCTAAACCTGTCGCTGAAGGTAAATGACCAAATCACACGCCTGTTAACTGTAAGTACTTCTGAGTGTAAATGACCGAATCGTCACTCCTGTTATCTGTAAGTACTTCTGAGTGTAAATGACTAAAATCAAGCCTCTTACGCATTAAACGTGATCACTTCTAAGGCAAATAACCAGCGCCATCCATGTTAGGTTCGTCTGGGACAGCTGCTGGTTCCTGCAGCTAATGTGGCATGAGACACGATCTGGTATCAAGTCTCTGTGCCAGATAAATTTGGTCGAAATAAGGCTAAAAAATCGGCCAAGTGTAGAAATCACTTGTCCCCCAGCGATTCAAGCTGGGTCCTGATGTCAGAACACTTCTTACACAGGTGTTCTCATGTTTAATTATCACTAGTAATTAGTTTTACACTACGACTTGGCATTTTAAATCTCAATAAATCTCAACAATTAAGTATTAATAAAATGTCTATTACTAAATTAAAGCTTGGTTTATGTGGGTCCATTGCTTTACCTAAGATGTTTTAAAAATCAAACGACGTGACCAGATAAACTTTATTTTTATTGCCAGTTAGACCTCCGACACCGGAGCCTATACGAAAACCCCAGCACTGGACTTCTGGTATTATTAAACATTTAGCGTATCCTAGCAACCACATAGCTGAGTCCCATGACAGTGTATGTGATGCCAGGTTGGTTGTTATATGTTGTTGTTGTAAGGTGGAGCATGATGTGTGGAGGTGTACGGTGTTTGGTGTACTTGGTTTGTTTTTCTTTTTGGCCAAATATGTGTTAAATAGTGAAGGTATGCTAAGGTTTTTTAGTAAAGCATAATATTATATCTTGTTTCTCTGACTAAAGTTTGATCTGTAAATCTGTTTTTGTGTGGAATAAGCATTACATATTGATGGCCGTGTTCGATGAGTGATGTTTTATCATTTTTTTTTCAATTTTTTATCGGAAACACAGTCCTGTGAAACTTTTTAATTATCTTAACTATTTTCTTTTAATCCGTCCGATGGTCTACATACAGGTATCGGGGATGGAGCAAAGTCAACAAACGATCTGGTTATCACGTGATAGTTAACACCACAGCATTTGAAAACTCAGAACGAGGCCGACTGATGTGTCAGATGGAAAACACCACTATGTCCCCTGTCCATCGCTTACATCCGGGCTACCTGCTACGCTACACACCAAAAGGAAAATCCCGGAAATCTTTTTCACGTGGAGGGAAAGCGAAAGACAAAAATAAATTTAGTTTCCGATGTTTGAAGAAAACCAAACTCAATGAAATCTTTGAAGAAGACTGTATAGATTCTCAGGAAAATAGCTTGTGAAATGAATTACTGTGTTGGTATTAAACAAGAATTTCGTGGCGCCACTCCTGGTACGGTCACTCAGGGTGTCACACTCAACAACAAAATACTTAATGTACAAAATCCTTAGACGATTTGGTGTCACCCAAATACAGGATTGTGTCATCCTGTATGTCTCAAGATGTACCAACGTTGGTAGATTAACTGAACAAAGCAGATGTTATGTATTGGTGTCGCCCCTTCTATGGTGTCACCTGATGCGGTACACCCCACACACCCCGCCTTGTGACGCCATTTCAAGAAATTATAATGCTAGAGTTTTGACCTTCATCTACCTATAATTTACGCGAGCACCATAAGTAGCCAGTTTTATTGGACGTCCATCAGTTATGAAAGACTTTCACAATCGAATCAATTACATTATTTTAATTAATTAGAGAACTCTCTCAATGAAAATATATATTATAAAAAACGATTTAATTACGAGGTTTACTTTTATCTGTCTTTAGTAAATTATTTTGTATTGAAGTCATTGAGCAATTAGATATTCCCACGGATCACGCAACATTTGATGTGTAGTGCCTTTGCTAATATTTTCAATTCGTTTACAGCTAAGTTTACTGCCCGTTCACGATAGAACCAGCTGTTAAATGTAAAAGTATAATAAGCATAAAATGTAGCGTGCGAGTGCTGTATGCGCATTTTGAAAATGCAAATAGAAACGAGGTAATTTTATTAGCGAAAAAAATGTAAATAAGCAGCGTATATTATAGCTTTTAAAAAGTTTAATTCCACGGCTATCAAACAAAAAGATAACATTATTTTTAAAAACGAAAGCAAAATACAACATAATTGTTTGACTTAAGTAAAGGCGTATGTGGAGCTTTATCTGGGCAACCTACCCATGTTTGAAAAATTGGTTATGGTTGGTTTTTTTACAAATACAAAATAAAAACGAACAACAAAAATATATTTTCAAATGTATTCTATTTAATCCTCCTTTAAAAGGCACGTGACGTGAATAAATTAGAACAAATGGGAAGATGCAGGCACATGAACAATTAACTGTCAGATGCTATCATGTCGACAGCTTGTTAAAAGCATCAACACAATTTACTTCAATATGGCTGGAATGTGTGTGTGTGGGGGGGGGGGGGGAGTGTAGTTCGTGTTCAAAGTTGTCATAAAAAGCCCCCCCCCCCACCCACTAAATATAATTCCAACGAAAAATACCCTCAAATTTTCGTGTAGTCATTTATGAACGACTCAAAATCATGTGTACCATTGATGAAACATTGAAATTTGAATAGCTAAACAGTGCATTATTCTAACAGTCTAAGCAATGTTAGTTTCATTGATTGTTTTGTTGGTTGTTTTTTTTTTTTTTTTTTTTTTTTTTTTTTTTACATAACAAAAATTCAAATAAATTGTTAAATTTAGAGCAATTAAATTACAACCAAGTAATTAAATCTTGAGCTTTTTGTCAAATAACCGAATTAGCATAATTTATGGAATTAAAGCAGTTAAATGAATGATTTAATTCATAGTAGTTAAGTTAAAGCCCAAAAATAAAACATCAGTCATCAGGTTTTTATCTAATTACCAAAATCCTAATTAGCAAACTTTATGGAAAGGTATACGTAAAAACAAAAATCATTTTTTAAAATATTAACCAAAGAATAAAAATCACAGATATTAAAGAAACCATTCCAACAAAGCATTAATATATTTTTATACAAGAATGTAACAAAATACTCATTGTCATATAGGGCCCAGGGGCGTAGCGAGGGGGGTACGGACCGCACCGGGTGACACCATTTAGGGGGGGGGGGGGTGACACCAAGGCAAAAAATAGCAAAATATATAGAGAAAAACTCGAGGGGAATGCAAATCGAAGGTTTGAGCGGGGGGGGTGCAAATCGAAAGTTTGAGGGGAGGGGTGCAAATCGAAAATTTGAAAGTTTGTCCCCGGGAATGGTCTCTATGCCTCTGGGGGGGGGGGGAGGGGTGACACCATTAAGTGCCGCACCGGGTGACACCCGACCTCGCTACGCCACTGATAGGGCCTAGTGCAATATTTCCCCGCTGTCGATTACATTTTGTAATATAAAACACATATGCTCCAATTACTACATGCAACAAAATAAACAGTCCGATTTTATTTATTTATTGAAAGTTCTTACCATTAAAAAGTACTAGTTTTCTAGAAAGAATTATTTACAAAATGCATAGCGTTTGATAGAAGGTAAAGTTTGATTATTCATTGCGGAGCTTGAGATATTTCCTTGACAACACTCTGTATAAATATATCCCAACTGGAAGTCCATTGGACAAAGGCGGCTTCCTTTTCTCTTGCAGACATAGCACTGTACCTTTACATAAAAAACATGAACGTTCTAAAATGTACCTGTCACTGATACATGATGCAATGGGTTAATGCTATATTTCTTTGATTAAACAAATATATATATTTGCAACAATAAAAAAGATTCTATATTGATTTTGACTTGGGGAATGTTTTTTATCTACACACCAGGAATGTATCGAGAAATAGACAACGTTGGTAGAGCTGAAAGCATTAAATAAGTGTTTAAACTTATTCGTTTCATTAAAGACCTCCACACAGTGAGACTGGCATTTTTACAAAGAGCTGCAAATAAAGTGAGAATGTTGTTTGTAACAAAGCGCTGCACACAAAGTGAGAATGTTGTTTGTAACAAAGAGCTGCCAATAAAGTAAGACTGCTGTTTGTAACAAAGAGCTGCACACAAAGTGAGAATGTTGTTTGTAACAAAGAGCTGCACACAAAGTGAGAATGTTGTTTGTAACAAAGAGCTGCAAATAAAGTGAGACTGCTGTTTGTAACAAAGAGCTGCACACAAAGTGAGAATGCTGTTTGTAACAAAGAGCTGCAAATAAAGTGAGAATGTTGTTTGTAACAAAGCGCTGCACACAAAGTGAGAATGTTGTTTGTAACAAAGAGCTGCAAATAAAGTGAGACTGCTGTTTGTAACAAAGAGCTGCACACAAAGTGAGAATGCTGTTTGTAACAAAGAGCTGCAAATAAAGTGAGACTACTGTTTGTAACAAAGAGCTGCACACAAAGTGAGAATGTTGTTTGTAACAAAGAGCTGCACACAAAGTGAGAATGTTGTTTGTAACAAAGAGCTGCACACAAAGTGAGACTGCTGTTTGTAACAAAGAGCTGCACACATAGTGAGACTGCTGTTTGTAACAAAGAGCTGCACACAAAGTGAGAATGTTGTTTGTAACTAAGAGCTGCACACAAAGTGAGAATGCTGTTTGTAACAAAGAGCTGCACACAAAGTGAGAATGTTGTTATTGAAACAAAGAGCTGCACACAAAGTGAGACATTTGTAACATTACTTTTGTGTAGCAACAACACACCTTGGCTGCATGTGCGTCAGTCACAATTAGCATCACGAGCCGAGCATGTAACAGATGTTTCACTGACGCTCATTAAGGGGACGGTATTTCTTAAAACACAGTTGTACAAGAGGAAGCTATTCACTGCAATAGTTTTTTTTTACAAACTGAAGTGAATCTGAGTAGGATACGCAAGGTCTATAGGCCTACAACCCTTTATTCCTCTGAATGTCCACGGGATTAAGTAAGTAGTGTGTAAGGTGGTGTGCAGCTTAGAGACTTGAAGTAGCCATGTTTTGTTTTATTTTTTATTGTAACATTAAATAGGATTTCCTCCAATATAATCAAGTTATTTCTTGTTAATAACATGCTACCGCGCCGTAACGCAACACGTTCGTTGTCTGAGACTACATCCCGCATTTTTTTAAGGATTTCTTTCCATAGCCTTTGTCCATCCAAGAACAATCTACAAGGCAACAGTTGTTTAATTTTTAGAGTTTTCTCTCCAAGAGGGGTTGATGTTCCCAGCTAACGAGCCTATTCTGCCACGGTGGGTGGGGGGGGGGGGGGTCCGAGCGACTTTCGTTTTACTAATCTGACCTCGACCTCCCCCCCCCCCCGCTCTTACTTCTAACAATAACCCAGACCTCTGCCTTGTACAAGTACTCACTGTATGGAGTTGATGGCCAGCTGTTTGAGGAACGCCAAGTCTCCAGATTTTGGTGCCATGGCCATGAATGCCATGTAGAAGTCATGTGACAGGGGGTCAGTGCGGAAGATGCCAGGGTCATCCGAGCTGATGACGACAGGGAGGTTGTCTGCCATCAGCCCGACCATGGGGTGGCTGCGGAGGTCAGATACCAGACACAAAATCTGGCGTAGATCAGATAAAGGTTAGACAAAATCTGGCATAGATCAGATAAAGATTAGACAAAATCTGGCAAATATTAGACAAAATCTGGCAAATATTACACAAAATCTGGCAACTATTAGACAAAATGTAGCAACTATTAGACAAAATCTGGCAAAGATTAGACAAAATATGGCAAATATTAGACAAAATCTGGCAAATATTACACAAAATCTGGCAACTATTAGACAAAATGTAGCAACTATTAGACAAAATCTGGCAAAGATTAGACAAAATATGGCAAATATTAGACGAAATCTGGCAAATATTACACAAAATCTGGCAACTATTAGACAAAATGTAGCAACTATTAGACAAAATCTGGCAAAGATTAGACAAAATATGGCAAATATTAGACAAAATATGGCAAATATTAGACAAAATATGGCAAAAATTAAAAATTATACACAATCTGGCAAAGATCAGACGAAGATCATACACAACCTGGCAAAGATCAAACAAAGATTAGACAAAATATGGCAAAAATTAAAAATTATACACAATCTGGCAAAGATCAGACAAAGATTAGACAAAATCTGGCAAAAATCAGACAAAATCTAGCAAAGATCAGACAAAAATCAGACAAGGATCAGACACATTGCAATTAACAACCTTAAAAAAGTATAATGTTTTCTGTTTCTATTAAAAAGCGATAACGAATAATATTCTCGTTTGGGACTAGGCTACTTCATATTACAATGTAAATTTTATAATAAATCATCGCCTTTATTAACTTAGTAAAAAAGGACTTTTGTCTAGTACTTATGAAAAACACAACTATCAAGGGTAGCTATTTAACAGTGTATAAATTGGTACGTAAGTATTAAAGTTCTGTATGAAAATATATTGAACAAAAAACAGCTTTCTTTCAAATGCAGAAATATTCTCTATTGACCGTTTTCTATTGATAATTTAAAAATTCTATTATTCAAACACAAAAGACCGAATGATTTTCTTTAGCGTTTGCACTAGGGTTAAGTTAGTTAAGTGAAATTTTATTTCTGGCTTGATAATAAAAAAATTAAGTTTCCCTTACTATAGGGCAGATAAAGTAGAGTCGATGTTTCTTTACATTGGCATATGTAGGGATGGTGTGGTCAAGATTATGCCCAGCCGCCTTTACTTTCCCTAACGTGAGTTAGGTACCCATCAGAACCGGGTGGACTCAGGGTTGTCTCAAATCCCCGACCATGTTTCAAACTCGAGACCCGATGGCTAGCAGTTTAGTGCTCTAACACTCGACATTGTCGTCCCACTAGCATGACATGGCAATATTCAAATAATTTGAATGGTATTTTTTTTAAAATCTCCAATGTCTATCTACTGGCTCATCTCACCTGGTTGGATATAGGGTTAACCTCTACAGCGTCTATTGGATCATCTCACCTGGTTGGATATAGGGTTAACCTCTACAGCAATGTTGCTGTCTCTAATGATATCGACGTACTCTGGATGTTTTGACAAGGTAAACCCGTGTCCTACACGTGTTGTGTTCAACAGCAAAACATCGAGAATATCCTGGTCAAGTTCTACACCAAACCATTCTGGTAGGAGAACACAAATTATACCATAAAATTCTGGTAGGGGGAACAGAAATTATCTATATATATATATATATATATAATTCTCTTCTGGGAGACGTTAGAAAACAAGCTGTAAGCACGCCGAGCAGTCCCCTCTTTTCCTCTCTAGGCATATCGCAACCACACCCACATGGTCTGGTGAGCTGTCGCTCACGCTAAATGTTTACATCGTAGAGCCGGGTTTAGTGACGGCTATTGGGGGCAGATAATTTAGTTTAAAACTATTTTATACTTAGGGGAAGTAACTAAGTGGAGGCTGCTTTCACGCGTGGGTGGGGGTGGGGGTGGGGGGGTAGGGGTTGGGGGAAAGGAGGGTTTTAGTGTTTTAAAGCAAATATTTTCAATGGCAGCATTGGTACTGTTGAATTCACAAATTATAAATTACTAAAAAGTAGAAAATAAAACAACTAAATAGCGGCGTATGATACGCCGCGGGTCGGCTCGTACCATAAAATTCTGGTAGAAGAACACAAAACTTATACCACACAATGCAATTCTTTAATGTGGAAAAATATTGGAATGGCAGTAAGTTGACTCCATCAATTAAATACAATTCAATTTAACTTTGTTAATATCGTGCATAGGCTGACAACGTTTTTCACTTGATGTAAAGAAAACATACTGAAATTTAGTTTGGCCTCTCTTGACTTAATATGTAAAAACTACCCCAAACCAGATGTTGTATGGTAATTGCAACGATTTTTTTCCTAGGTAAATTTTAAATAAAATAACAAGCCACAATTGGTCATTAGGAGACTTAAGAATAGTAGGCTGCTAACTACCAATATAGACTTTAAACATCGTTCAGAAAGGTGACAAATGTCTTTGTTACAGATAATTCTATGCTTAATTTTCGGAGGAAAAAATTCCTTTATCATTTCGTTTTATTTTAAGAGTTGAAACAGATAAAACAGTGACTTTTTTTTTGGGGGGGGGGGAGTAGACCCGTATTACAAACGCTGTTCTGGTAGTAATTAATTATGCACTAATGAGTTGAGTCGACCCAGCCTTGACTTACTCGTCTCTCCAGCGTGTAGGAAGTACGGGAGGGTGGCCGGGGGGTCAAGGTTGGTGGGGTACAGCAGAGCGTCCATGTAATACACCACAGGGTTGTAGTTACCGCTGGACGCGGCGAGGTCAAAGCCGGCCACGAAGTCGGGGTATCTCTGGTGTAAATCTAGAGCGGACTTGACGTCTGCCAACATTTGTTCTTTACTTGCTGTTCTGTGGAATATATTACATGCTTATATAAAGGGGAATTAAATTAAGCTAGACCGGCATATGTATTAAACAAATGCGATGTTTTTCTAAAGCGTGGAAAACTGTTACGTTTTTAAGCTTAATCATTTCAAACCACGTTTACAGTAATGATCAAGACACGTAGATCAGCTGTTAGTATTATTTGATAGCGTGAACTCCAAACTATCTCTTGATAGTTAGTTTGGCACATTGGTGCTAAACTCTTGTTGGCATATAAAAGTTAAGTGTATTCATGGAACTCCATTTCCCCTTCCATATCCACATATCTACACACAGCTTGTATGTGTTTTCTGTAAGTAACAGTCTGGTGTAATTAATTGCTTTATTTTATTACAAAATACATGCTTGAAAACTATAACGTAGACAAACACTTTCTATATTAACACAAACAAACCTGTCTCCTGTGATAATAATTTTAGCGCCGATAAAGCCATCGTATCTGTTTACAAATTCTTCCGTCAACCGTTTGAGGATGATGACAATCTGCTCCTTGTCGTAGATTTTTCCGTCGATGTCGTAAACCTTTGGGGCAAATGTAAAAGTCGTAAACCTTTGGGGCAAATGTAAAAGTCGTAAACCTTTGGAGCAAATGTAAATGTTGCAAGCTTTTGGGGCAAATGTAAAAGTCGTAAACCTTTGGGGCAAATGTAAATGTCGTAAACTTTTGCGGCAAATGTAAAAGTCGTAAACTTTTTGCGGCAAATGTAAAAGTCGTAAACTTTTTGCGGCAAATGTAAAAGTCGTAAACTTTTGGGGCAAATGTAAAAGTTGTAAACTTTTGAGGCAAATGTAAAATTCGTAAACCTTTGGGGCAAATGTAAAAGTGGTTAATACAATACGCTAGTTTATTAAAAAAAATTGTCTGATGTTTTCTTTAATACAATACGCTAGTTTATGTATAAAAAATTGATGTTTTCTTTAATACAATACGCTAGTTTATTTAAAAAAATTGTCTGTTCTTTTTTTTAATACAATACGTACCTGACTTATTGAAGATCGCAGCTCCAGGTATTGGACATTATCTGATCTTAAATCCTCCAAAGTCTTTCTGTAGTAATCCATAAACACCGGCAGGTAGGTGATCAATGGCAGCGCCTGGTGACACACAACATGGTATTATGGTATTACATAAGGCGTCATCCATAAATGATGTCACGCTAATTATGACGATTTTTACCTCCCCCTTTCCCCTCCGTCACACGTCGTCACAAAAAGCCAGACCCCCACCTCAGCCTACAACCCCCCTCAAAAATGCAGTTGAATTTTTTTTTAAAACATCGATATTTTTCTAAATCTTGTCTGTATTCTGTAAAAATAGAGTATTTTGATCAATTCCTATTACACTTTATTAAAACAGTTTTCTAAAACGCGAAATAACGTCTAAAATTCGTTTTCTAACATTGCTTTTTTATAATGCAAAAGTGTGACGTCACACCATCTGAACCCCCCCCCCCTCCCCCTCATCACACACCATACAAATTACGGACCCCCCCCTCCCCCCCACGAGTGTGACGTCATTTATGGACGACCCCCTAAAGCTGCGGGCAGAGTGCTAGTTACATATCAGACATGAATGTATTGTTTTCTGTGATGGTACAAATTTCAACTGAATACAAGTTTTTGTAAAAAAAAATATTGTAAGTTTTAATACATTTTCGGGTAATAAATCAATCTTTTGATGGACCCTGGTAAAATTATATATTTTCTATATAAATTATATTTCGTTCGGGGTTCGGTAGACGTTGTTGGGGAGGGGGAGGGCAGATCCCCCCCCCCCCTCCCTGGAGAGATTCCTGGAAGAAACTCTGGTATGTTGACTTACCTGAGCCAAATACCTCGCTATTGACCCTATGGGAAGCTCGTCTGTTTTGTCTGAGCAGAAGTTGTTGAGTTTCGGCACAATATTGTTGATTAATCTGGTCAGAAGAACAAAGACTAACTTAATTGATCTGGTTGAAAAGGTATAGACGGCTGATTTATATGTTCAAATATACATTAAATGGCTGGTTAGGTTGTTCTGGTTTTAAAATTAGTAGTACACGATATAATGTGAATGTGTTGACTAGTTGCTTCAACTATATAAATGGGTTGACAAGTTCTTTCAACTATATGAATGGGTTGTCTAGTTTCCTCGACTATATGAATGGGTTGAGTAGTTGTTTAAACTATATGAATGGGTTGACTAGTTCCTTCAACTATATGAATGGGTTGACTAGTTGCTTCAACTATATGAATGGGTTGACTAGTTGCTTCAAACATATGAATGGGTTGACTAGTTCCTTCAACTAGTTGCTTTAAAAGCTCATCTAGTACTACTGTGTTCGCTACAACTGGAGTATTAGTCTGCTCCAACTAAGTCACCCTCATAAAACACATGAGAACTGTTTATAAATATATATATAGTGACCTTGTTAAAACCCATGAGAATGATGTATCTTACTGCTCCAACAAAGTGACCTTGATAAAACCTATGAGAATGATGTATCTTACTGCTCCAACAAAGTGACCTTGATAAAACCTATGAGAACGATAAAATGACTTACTTCTCATCGAACTGTGTAACATCTGGAGATGACCATCTTTCAGCCTGTACAGATTTCCACTGGCAGTCTACATTAGGATGGTAGGGGACTTGATGAACGACCGATTAAATTAAGATGGTAGGATGGTAGGGAACTTAGTGAACGACCGATTAATTTTGGGTGATAGGATGGTAGGGGACTTAGTGAATGGCCTATATTATTAGATGTTAAGATGGTGAACGATCGATTTCATTAGGATGGTAGGATGGAAGCCATATAGAACTGCTGACATTACCTGTGACGCGTTACTTAGAAATTTGAGCAGTCACGACGTCACAACAATATATAAACGCGTTAGAGTGTGACAATTATAGAATAACAACGTCATTTTCTAATTTTAAAAATAGAAATATAAGCAAATAATTTGCAGGTTAATGTTATCTATGTTTTTTATCTAACTCAAAAATTTTTAAACAAAGTATTTAATACGGGGAAAAAAATTACATTAAAAAAAATGAAAACAAACAGCTATGTGTTCATGTTAAAACAACATCGACATCCGGGTTAAAAGCTGTAACTTTAGTGTACGTAAATTCAGGCGCAACTTGATATGTAATAAGTTTTTGTCTCTATGAAATCATACCCACCTAATTGACTGGGCGGGTCCAAAAAGGCTTGATATCGTATGTCCCCCGCTTCAGTGACGCACATGTATATGTCATCCCTGTATGTGACGTTTGTGATCAACCACTCTGCGCCAACTGACGATATGTCGTGGATGTGTAGGGCGCCACCTGGGTGGAGGGAGAGATAACCAATACTTTTTTATTGGATGCCCTAGACAAAGCCAACAAGAGCAGTTTTTATCTAGAGCAACATCAAACACATCTGGTGCCGGTATAAAATCTCCAAAGATTATTTTTCATATATAATGTTATTGGTTTTTTTTTCTACATTACGTACCACACAAAGTATTGCTCGCATGTTGAATAAACAACATGTAAGCCTACATAAACATACATTTTATGTCGTAATATTAGAGAAAACGCCTAAAATCAAATAACTGTAGTTTGTTCTTGAATGGACAAAGGCTAAGGGTGTAATCCAAAAATAAAAGCAGGCTGATATCGGAGGCAAAGGCATATATGGCGCATAACAAGTTGGCAGGTTATAATTGTGTTGGAGGGGATCCCTTCCCACATTACAATCAAGCAGGGTTTCTTCCAGGCATCTCCCCAGGCAAAGCCCCCCCCCCCCCCCCAAAAAAAAAAATTCTACCGCCCCCCTTCCCCCGAACGAAATGAAATTTATATAATTTATATAGAAAATATATACTTTTAACAGTGTCCGCCCCCCCCCCCCACGAAGAAAGTCCGCCGCCCCCCCCCCCCCCAAAAAAAATTTCAAGTGCCCCACCCCCGGAGAAAAAAGTCTGGAAGAAACACCGCAATCAAGAACAAAGAAGAAGAAGAATGTCAAACTATTTCAATTCGCGTCAATTACACAGCTGTCTGCTGGGAATCACAAAATAAAAATATTTCGTGATTCAAAATGTGAATTGAACAGTGGACAGAGAAATTGTAATAGTCAGTAGAAAAAATGTTGAGCCAACAATCTGTGTTGTAAATATAGAATCACTGGATTCCAATTTATTTATTAAATAACGCGTAATTTTTGTTATAAATATATAATCACTCGATTGAAATTTATTAATTAAATAACGCGTAATTTTTGTTATAAATATAAAATCACTGGATTCAAATTTATTTATTAAAAAACGCGTAATTTTAACGGCAGTGAATTCAAAACTGGTATTTCGAGCCTCGAATGTCTATAATTATGCATGCTAATCGCGAACAAAGATTCAGGCGTCTATACATCTATACGTCTATACGTCTATCTGCAATAAGGTGTCGGGGGGGGGGGGGGGGGGGGGTAGGGGGAAGAACCCGGACAAATAACCTTCTGGTCATAATCCCTCCGGACTAAAAAAAAACGTGTATGGGTGTATGTATGTATATGTAGTTATAGATTATTAATAGCGCTACATATTTGTAGGGTTAGCTTGCACATAAAGCACGTCTGAACAGCTTTAAAAGGCGCTAATAGCTCTTAAATGAGCAGCCAAGCAAAGTCTATCAAGAAATCTGTAAAAATAGTTCTTCAACTCAATAACTATTTTATTGCTTGCAAATTGTAAAATGCCCCCGGGGAACGAGGTTTTACACAATTGATTGTAATTAGTTCGCTTTGAAATAAGGCTCTAAAATCGTACACAATAACAAGGGTTTACATAATTTTAAAAATACACTTAGTTGTCTTAGAAAGAAAAGAAAATTACGATTGCATGTCTATAAATAAAATAAAAAGTGGAACACTTTGGTCGTAAGATGCCAACCATGACGACAGAAGTGTAAAAGGGAACTAAAAATAAACAAAATCTTAAAAATATGTATGGCCCTTTTTATAGATTACTCATTGTTGTAACCATGAATAAACGGCAAGCTTCATTTTATTATAAGTTTAGAAACTGTTATTAAATGATTAATCTTTTCAATATTTGCAGAACATAACCGTGCTATCACTGCAGAGATAATCAAACTAATATATAAATAGATCCGCCATTCTAGTGAGCCAACTCGACTGTAAGAAAAGGTTATTCATTCTAGTGAGCCAACTAGACTGTAAGAAAAGGTCATGACTCTAGTGAGCCAACTAAGAAAAGGTCCCCCACTGAGTCAACTATGTAAGAAAAGTTCCCCTACTCTAGTGAGCCAACTAGACTGTAAGAAAAGGTCATGACTCTAGTGAGCCAACTAAGAAAAGGTCCCCCACTGAGTCAACTATGTAAGAAAAGTTCCCCTACTCTAGTGAGCCAACTAGACTGTAAGAAAAGGTCCCCCAATGAGTCAACTATGTAAGAAAAGTTCCCCTACTCTAGTGAGCCAACTAGACTGTAAGAAAGGTCCTCACTCTAGTGACCCAACTAGACTGTAAGAAAAGCTCCCCCACTCTAGTGAGCCAACTAGACTGTAAGGACAGGTCCCCCACTGAGCCAACTAGACTGTAAGAAAAGGTCCCCCACTCTAGTGAGCCAACTAGACTGAAGAAAAGGTCCTGACTCTACTGAGCCAACTAGACTGTAAGAAAAGGTCATTCAATCTAGTGAGCCAACTAGACTGTAAGAAAAGGTCCTCACTCTAGTGAGCCAACTAGTAGACTGTAAGAAAAGGTCCTCACTCTAGTGAGCCAACTAGAATGTAAGAAAAGGTCCCCCACTCTAGTGAGCCAACTAGACTGTAAGAAAGGTCCTCACTCTAGTGAGCCAACTAGACTGTAAGAAAAGGTCCTGACTCTACTGAGCCAACTAGACTGTAAGAAAATGTCCCCCACTGAGCCAACTAGACTATAAGAAAAGGTCCCCCACTGAGCCAACTAGACTGTAAGAAAAGGTCCCCCACTGAGCCAACTAGACTGTAAGAAAAGGTCCTGACTCTACTGAGCCAACTAGACTGTAAGAAAATGTCCCCCACTGAGCCAACTAGACTGTAAGAAAAGGTCCCCCACTCTAGTGAGCCAACTAGACTGTAAGAAAATGTCCCCCACTGAGCCAACTAGACTGTAAGGAAAGGTCCTGACTCTAGTGAGCCAACTAGACTGTAAGAAAAGGTCCTGACTCTACTGAGCCAACTAGACTGTAAGAAAATGTCCCCCACTGAGCCAACTAGACTGTAAGAAAAGGTCCCCCACTGAGCCAACTAGACTGTAAGAAAAGGTCCTGACTCTACTGAGCCAACTAGACTGTAAGAAAATGTCCCCCACTGAGCCAACTAGACTGTAAGAAAAGGTCCCCCACTCTAGTGAGCCAACTAGACTGTAAGAAAATGTCCCCCACTGAGCCAACTAGACTGTAAGGAAAGGTCCTGACTCTAGTGAGCCAACTAGACTGTAAGAAAAGGTCCTGACTCTACTGAGCCAACTAGACTGTAAGAAAATGTCCCCCACTGAGCCAACTAGACTGTAAGGAAAGGTCCCCCACTCTAGTGAGCCAACTAGACTGTAAGAAAAGGTCCCCCACTGAGCCAACTAGACTGTAAGGAAAGGTCCCCTACTCTAGTGAGCCAACTAGACTGTAAGAAAAGGTCCCCCACTGAGCCAACTAGACTGTAAGAAAAGGTCCTCACTCTAGTGAGCCAACTAGAATGTAAGAAAAGGTCCCCCACTCTAGTGAGCCAACTAGACTGTAAGAAAAGGTCCCCCACTGAGCCAACTAGACTGTAAGAAAATGTCCCCCACTGAGCCAACTAGACTGTAAGAAAAGGTCCCCCACTCTAGTGAGCCAACTAGACTGTAAGAAAATGTCCCCCACTGAGCCAACTAGACTGTAAGAAAAGGTCCTGACTCTACTGAGCCAACTAGACTGTAAGAAAGGTCCTCACTCTAGTGAGCCAACTAGACTGTAAGAAAGGTCCTCACTCTAGTGAGCCAACTAGACTGTAAGAAAAGGTCCCCCACTCTAGTGAGCCAACTAGACTGTAAGAAAATGTCCCCCACTGAGCCAACTAGACTGTAAGAAAAGGTCCTGACTCTACTGAGCCAACTAGACTGTAAGAAAATGTCCCCCACTGAGCCAACTAGACTGTAAGAAAAGGTCCCCCACTGAGCCCACTAGACTGTAGGAAAGGTCCCCCACTCTAGTGAGCCAACTAGACTGTAGGAAAAGGTCCCTACTATAGTGAGCCAATTAGACTCTACGAGAAGTGTGTTCATAGTGTGTTTACTTTCAATTACCAAACTCATAGCTGATTTGTTTTTCTACTAGATCTAGGAAAAAAAACACCCAATACCTTTAGGCATCCGGTGAATAATGTTGTACACCTCCGTATTCTCTATCCGTTCCTTGACGTCCAGGAAATTCTGAGCGGCCAAGAAGGGAACATTCTTGTAGCGGCTGTCCTCGATTTGTTGTGTTTTCTCCTGTAAGTCAACATCACATTGTGTGAGATTGGCATGTAGACAACAGAGGGTCGGGCTGATTTATGAGGGGGATGGTGAATTTGTGTGGTGTGTGAGGATCTAGGTTGTTGTGTTTGTATGGTTTTTTAAAGCTGAAATTGTTGTAATTGGTGGTGCAAGAATCCATCTCTTAAAGACAAGCCCATACGAACATAAACACAGGCATACAGAAGGATTTTATAATATAAAACTCAAACGTTGTAGCCTGAACGTATTCAGTTTGTAGTAACAATGTGCTTTATTAATAAGACTGGAATTAATCTTTCCTTCAATTCTCTACGGTTACATCTATATCAGATAAAACGTGCGACTATCTACCTACTCTGCTGGGCCTAGAGAAACGCCAACTACAAAAACCAGCGACAAATGTTCAGCCAGTCTCCACACAAGTTTAATCTGTCAAGTTATTTAAGTATGAATAACTTTATACGTAGATATGCCAGCTAGGTAGATATCGTTTGTATTGTTATATTTAGAGATCTATTTAGACACCTGGATATCACTACCACTACAAAGCCCTGGACCAGATGTTAAGAACACGAATTACACAAAAACATACACATAACAAGCTGGAGCTCAGAGCGAATCTACTTCAACTACCTTCATGAGGATCTGATTAACTAACTGCTCGTCTGGCGTGAGCGTGATTTGCCCTCCCAACATCCGCTGTTTTTCCTTGAGTAAAATTTCCTCCCTCAGCTGAAGGTACTCACTGCTGGTCAGACTGTGTGCGACATGACTCACGCTCAGGACACACACTAGCATGGAATAGCCCAACAAATATGGCGACATGCTTCAAGGCGTTGGATTCAAACTTATTTATGAGCAAATTTAAACTCCAGACAAAATGTTTTTTTCATCAAATTTAAACTCCAGACAAAATGTTTTTTTCATCAAATTTAAACTCCAGACACGATGCTTTCTTGATCAAATTTAAACTCCAGGCAAAATGTTTTTTTCATCAAATTTAAACTCCACTCGAAATGTTTGCTTGAGCAAATTTAAACTCCAGGCAAAATGTTTTTTTCATCAAATTTAAACTCCACTCGAAATGTTTGCTTGAGCAAATTTAAACTCCAGGCAAAATGTTTTTTTCATCAAATTTAAACTCCACTCGAAATGTTTGCTTGATCAAATTTAAACTCCAGGCAAAATGTTTTTTTCATCAAATTTAAACTCCACTCGAAATGTTTGCTTGATCAAATTTAAACTCCAGGCAAAATGTTTTTTTCATCAAATTTAAACTCCACTCGAAATGTTTGCTTGATCAAATTTAAACTCCAGGCAAAATGTTGAACATTTCTGTGGAGTATAAAAAAATATTTAAAAAATTAACGAAACAATAAATGTAATCTCTTCAGCTTCAATAAAACTAAAAGCCAAGGCAGTGACATAAACATCCATCATCAATGATTGATACAGGCTACACAAACAAGTCGTGTACTGCTCTTACCACGCGTCCCTTCTTAAGAACAACTAGAATACAAAACTGAGACACCTGGACACCGTTTAAACGTTTAATTACGTTTTTTTTCTCTTTCTTGCTCTTAATTAACGGACTCTCACTATTGATCGGTTTACAAAACTTGAGGTAGGTGTCGTGAACATAATGAGGTAAATTTAAACGATCGAAATGCTGTTGGGTTAGTTTACCATACATACAGAGATTAAAGTGTATTTTTAAAAATCTTTAATGCTTGTTAAAAATAGTATGTTAGAAACAAGCGAACTGTACGCAATTTTATTCTGATCTATGATATAACAACTAATATTTTAAAAATTGTATAATACACCGAAAAGATTAAAATAAAGCTTTGGTCGCTATAGAGATTTCTTACATATTTTAGCGATTAAAGTTTTTTGTTTTTAAAGAAAGCAAGTTTGTTTTATTTATTTTTTATTCCCAATACATTTAAAAAAAAACAACATATTATTACTACTATAAAGGTTTTTAATTTTTTGTTTTCCACTTTTCGTATACATTGTAAATGAAGCTGACACCTTTAGGCAACGACTTTAAAAATTTGCGTTAAGAGCCGATCAGCAGCTTGCAATCTCTATAAGACAATTATCTGCTACGTCTTAGTCAGTGGTCAACGTCAAGTCAAAAAAACACTCAGCCGTGAAATAAAAAAAGCCCCCCCCCACCCCCCCCCCCCCCGAACGAAATGGAATTTATATCGAAAATATATACTTTTGATAATGTCCGCCCCCCCCCCCCCCCCCCCCCCTCCCGAAAATTTCAAGTGCACCCCCGGAGAAAAAAGTCTGGAAGAAACACTGGGCCCATTAAACAAAGTCACCAACGTATTTTTTTAAAGAAATATCTAGTTATGATATATTCATGTCAAACAATATAATGTAAGGACAGCAATAACTTGCCGTCACCACCTGATTCGCGAAATGAAAACAAGAAAAGGATTAATCAAGATTAATATCACGCTGACAACCCCCAGGGTTAAATCTAGCAAGATCACTAACATCAGCAATAAAACAGGGGCTTGCTGTGGTAGAAGATTATGCTCAAGTAACCAAACCTTAAACCATGCAGTATAATTCTTGTTGAAGGATTGATTACTAGTCCATTCTAAAGGTGGTTTTAAAAATATTATGTTTTCTAATGTGCTGGTATCAAAGAGAAAAAAAATTATTTACATCCGGTTTTTAAATTCGTATAAATCCCGTACAGTTGTAGCTTTAGTAAACCAGTTTGTAAGTAAAAATCTCTTTAACTTATCTTGCCACGATGTGTTGTGACAACAGGTCTTTATTTATCTTAGGAAGTCGTCGTTTAACAAAGGAACAGGTTTTTATCTTAAGGAAACATTCCAGCTGTTGGTTGCGCATGCGCCATGCCAATCTTAATTTCATATAAGTGTACTATTTAATTTAATTTGCAATCAACAATTTTAGTGTTGGTAAGACGGGGTTGAGAGTTACGTCCAAACTAAAGAATTAAAAAAATAGTTGACTACTTAGTCTTTATATCACACTTGCATCACATTTAAATATTAATCTTACTCAGATAAACAAACATAAACCGTGTATAATACGTAGGCTTATGTGTTGTATACAATCAAAGACATTAATATTAAAATTATTCAGACTATGTTTGATTAAATAGAATTAGCTGCTGCTATTTTTTAAAGTATAGATTAGGTTCGAATAAACTGACCTAAGTTTCTACTTGTTTTAGTATTTCTGTGTATATGCATGGTTATTTAGATGATAAGTAATCGAGTATATAAACAGGTGGTTGTAAGACATTGATTGAACGGTAACTCCACGTTTGATAGATCATAAGTAATCGAGTATGACGGAATATCGTTTGGTTAAATGAAGTGTTAAATTAAAAGTCGATTACCTGACATTATTAAGACTTGCTTCTAGCAGGTCTTTTTTTTTTTGGCTTGTATTAGTCAATGCAGTTTGGATTAATATTTTTTTTTAATCTCAAATGGTCCTCCGTCGAACTTCTGTAATTTTTTTAAATATTTAAAAATAGTTTTAAATTTTTTTAATGGTGTGTCTCGTGTTATAAGAAAACTCGGCGACGTAGATTTGTGTTGACACTTACAAGTCCACTGAACACAGTTCAAACAATATAAACAATAAAACACAAGCCATTAGGTCCTGCCACGGTCAATGATCAGCCGCTAATCCTTCGATCACTGCCTCACCTGTGTTCAACCATCACCGACCTCCTAACACACCTGCAGCAGACGACAGTTGACGCGCGTTTTACCAACATTACCTGGCGCGGTTTTATTCAAGCAGGCGGCGTGACCAGGGGCAATAAAAAACTGTGAGTTGAATCCTCTCACGGCATAAATTATACACGAGACAAATTACAACACCATTCTGCCAAATTACGACACACAAGTCAGTCAAATTACCACACCATCCAGCCAAATTACGACACACAAGTCAGTCAAATTACCACACCATCCAGCCAAATTACGACACACTAGTCAGACAAATGATCCCATGGATCAGATACATTACCAATTAGGTAGATCCAGTGGCGTTGCTAGGTCGGGTGTCACCTGGTGCGGCACTTGGTGGTGTCACCCCCCACTCCCACCCCCCTCCCAAGAAACAAAGTATATATATATATATATATATATATATATATATATATATATATATATATATATATATATATATATATATATATATATATATATATATATATATATATATATATATATATATATATATATATATATATATATATACTATTATATGTGTGTGTTGGCCTACATAGGCCTATAATTTATATATATTTCACATACGCGTATATGTATGTGTATAAGCTTTACTCACTGCAGACCTAATAGTAACGATGTTTATCTTTAGTCTGTTAATAATACAGTTGGATGTAACATGGTTTTCTTTATAGTTAGAGCGTTTTCCACATAGTGTCACTCCAACCCGCTTGTAATAATTGTCGATTTTTACTTAAACGGCGATTTAACTTTAATTACTCATTAATGGAACTGGCAAAAATAAAAATAAATGTCTGTACATTTTATAATTTTTTGCCTTGGTGTCCCCCCCCCCCCCACTAATTGGGGACACCCGGTGCGGTCCGCACCCCCCCCCCCGCCCTGCCCTCGCTACGCCTCTGGGTAGATCGCATGTTTGCTAACCCAGAAGTCTGTAATTAGTTTTCCCAACACGAGTACTTGGTGCGCCAATTAACGAACCGATGGTAAATCGGCAATAACTGTACTCAAAATGTCACATACGTTAGACTAACATCTATATGGGAAAGCTAAAAAAAAAAAACAGCGTTTTCGTGTTTAAGCGTCAATAAAATAATAACTCATGAAATTACAACATGGAATAGATAAATTGCAAAACGTTTATAAAATATTGTCAATTTCCCAACCCCCAGTTTAAAGTTGGTCTCAAGCCAAAAGGTGGTGAAAACCAAGGAAATAGAATGGTTATATGACTGTTAGAACGGTTATATGATTGTTAGAATGGTGATATGATTATGAGAATGGTCATATGACTGTTAGAATGCTTATATGACTGTTAGAATTGATATATCAATGTGAGAAAACCGACGAAATAGAATGGCTATATGACTGTTAGAAATTCTACATGACTTTGAAAATAACCAATAAACAGAATCACAATAATACAGTTAGAAAACCGACAAAAGGGAATGGCTATATGACTTTTAAAAACAAAATGAGGAAACAGAATTACAATGGCTACGTGGCTGTTAGAATAGCTACATGCTTTTGAAAAAAGGACGAAACAGAATGTATACATGACTGTTTTCTTGTAGTCTGGGTTAAGTTTTTTTATCTACAGAGTAACCCCTTCTCCCCCCCCCCCCATTCCCCCACCTTTTATTCACTGTATAAGTAGCCTCAACAATTGTGTGTTGGAAATCAAGGCGCGGATGTGGCCGAATCTAAATTATATTTGCTGCTATATTTAGATATTTTTTTTAATATATCACTGGCCTTTCTTTTTACACGGCACTCGGGGAGTTAGGGCCAATTTTGAACTTCTGATTATCAGACGTCCATGTTTTTAGAGCTATAAAAAATAGTCTATAATTCGTGAGCTTTAAACCTAGTTGTGTCCCTTCGCTAGGTTCACACACGGTGTTATCGCCGAGTCTAATTGTGTCGTCATACCATTGTTGGCTCTTATGCGCGACTAAAAGTAAGCGTACAATAGAAGCGAGTCGTTTATTTGATGCGGGTCTATAGAAACAACACAGGATGTGACATGTTTTTTCTAAACGGTTACACTTTGTAAAGCTAATGTTTTCTACATAGTTTATACATGAAAATAAGTTCGTAGTATTTGTCTTTAATTAAAAACGTTATTTAAACCTTTTTCAAAAAATAATATTTTAACTAAGGTATTCGTTATTTTTTATATATATAAATTAAAGGCCTAAGTAAAACGTTCATGTTTAAGTCAAATTTAATTAAAGTTTGATATTTAACTCTCACATTGATTTACA